TATAAAAGCGAATACAGCTACATTGGCGGCATCTGTGCGTTGTACATTCGATTCCAATGTAGAAAATTTTCATTTCCAGAAAAAAAGGAAATGGAAAGAATTATAGGCAAAAACTTGCAGATTGCGTGCGTGTCACAGCATATGAATTTAAATCGCGCGCAGCAGTATGTCTTATCGGACACCGCTTTAATTACAAGCGACGATCAATCAAACTTTTTTCAAGTGTGTATGCGATAATGCTGAATGCTTATATTATTAAGAGAGCATCATCTTCGTGTGCGCTAATTAATTTGTCGATAGGTTGTGATTAATGACGATCGTCGCGCAAACAATGTGTGTAGAGTAACTTTGATTTGTTTAATCTTGATCGTGAAAAATAAACATGCGTTACATATCGTAGGGTATTTTTAAAATATTTTTTAAATAATGCAGCTACGAAAAACCTCATTAAAATTTGAAAAGATTTCTATTGCTTCTCAATAAACCACAATACGCACTAAATTTTCTCAAAAATTAGCTTAATGCATGAAAATTAAACTTATTGGCCAAGCTTATAGAAGTTGTAATTAATAAGTCAAGATTGAATTTAATGCAATTAAGGTCTCAATAAGAAAAAAATTATTGTAGCATTATTGATGAACTAGAACATTTGTCGGCATCATAACATGATGATTCTGAGTGTCAGCGCAAGTATGCGTTTGTTCTCGAGTAAACATCAAGTTATATATTAAGAAATTTCTTATTTATAACAGCAATATTTACTTTTAAGAACTTTGGTGACGTATCATAAGTATAAAAACAGTTGCGATTGATGATTAACTTTGAATTTCAGAGCTGCAGGAGATTTGAAAAATTTTGAAAAACGTTCAGAAAGTGTTTATATTTGAGAAACAGAGCTCATGTAATGCTCCTCGGTACTTCTCTGCAGCTAAATATACCATAGCTGCAAGACGGAACGCAAAATGTAGTCCTCAATTGACAGAATTGGCGAGTGTTTAACATTAGGGGTTAATAAGCGGAGCGAGTAGGGTTAGCTGCTCCCACTTGGTTTAAATGTTTACAAATTTACATAGTTGGAACGCGCACTCACTTTTGACTAAAATCAGCTGAGTGCGCGTGCGGCTACTGTGCGTGATTTCGTAAAGTAACGCGATTCAATTACAAAATCACGCGACGGAATGAAATCGCGCGCGCTCGCTCGCTCACTTGCATAGTACACACATACGTATAGCACATGTATACTGCGTACTTTGCAGTCTGGATGTGTGCCGTACGTATACACTTTTATTCTTAGAAAAATGATTTATCGTTTATCATTTCGTTCTTAAATTGACGCGCGGCTTCTTACGCAGAAAAACCAAAAGGAAAGTCGCGCAAATTCTCCAGTAAAGATTCGCCTCAGCTGTCGTTTATTTTCTTTTTTTTTCTTTTCATTTGAAAGCTCTATCGTTCGATTGTGCGTCCCAGCGCGAGTAAAACACAAAAAAAAGACAAAGTTAAGGTGTAATGTATGCAGAGGCGATATCACAGGTGCTACATGCTCCTATACATGTAGCGGGTATAAAGTACAGCCTCTCTCGCTCGCGAGTTTTAATCCAACAACGCGTGTAAGTGTGTACGTATTATTGGTCAAGCGTCCTTCATCGGTATTACTTTGGAATTCTTGGTTTGGCGTGAGCGCGCGCGTATTACCACATGGAAAGCGGTGACCTGTGCATGTGTATAAATGCACTTGCATACAACATACACTCACACACACAAAGCTACCGAGGTAACTCTCGTTGTTTGTTTTCTTTTTGCTTCTTTTTAACGCGCTCCGCGGCAAGTGCATTACGCGCCATTTCGTCGGTTAACTAAACTCAACCCGATGCATATACTTATAAAACGTCCGTGGCGAAATGATACACATGTAGATTTTGTTTTAATTGCAGCCGGTCGTCGGAAAGCGGTGAGAAAAATCGGATACTGAAAGACACGCGTGCAGAGATGATTTAAAAGAAGCGAACGTTTTTTTTATTCAAGTTTACAAAATACGTATAATATCCGTTTATATATTATACACATCGCACGCTCGACTTGTCGATCGTCTGTCGCAATGTATATATACCGGAGCAGGTAATAATTATTGTTTCTTCTCCCAAGAGTTTTATAATACCGGAATGTGTCGTAATTGTAATTATTTAAGTGCATCGTCGAAAAAAAAGTCGAGCGATCGCGATATTAGCCGTGACGTTTAGTCACGTGGACAAGTAACTTGTACTATTTTATTTTTATTAAAATTGTAATTTTTTTTAGCCGCTTATGAACGAAGCGGCCTTATTGATAAAAGGCGGATAATTACGTGCGTCGGCACGTGTCTCTGCAGAGCACCCGGCAGAAGCAATTGTAACAAGTTGGGAAGCGCTAAAAATTTCCTCGTTCTGCCTTGCAACTGTGTGCGTTATTATACGCACACGCGTTGCTGCATTTTATCAAACGAGCGGCATCGTTGGGATATACTCTTGATAATAGCATGATTCAATTGACTAACAATAGATATTGGTCGATTCGGAGCTTGAGAAGCTCGCGAATGAATTACGCATTTCTTGGGATAAAAATTAAGTATACGCGTGTGCGTCGAAGATATAGCGAGTCGCTCAGATGTGTCGTGGTAGCGCGTGGGAAGATGGATCAGCTGCTGCGGCTGTTTCTTCTTGGAGCTACGATATACGAGCTCTGATTTGGTATTCTCGTGACTTTGAATCGTTATCGAGGATACTTGATGCGGACCGTTTTTATACATACACATGTATATATCAGCTCATCTATAAGTGTGATCGTCGTTTTATTTTAGGTTGCGCCCATGTGCACGTATTCATGTTCGATATACACTATACGATTTACCAAATCGTTCTATTTTTAACCTCGATAAATTCGAGCTATGTTTGCCTTGAAAATCGATAAGAGACAAGAGACCGCCACGACGCCGAGTGCAATATGCGTTAGTGAGCGCGTCTACACACACACACACATAAAAATAGACAGACAGACAGTCAGTGAGAACGGGTATACATGTTTCAGGCCAATCGCGATCAACTTGAACTTTCGACATTCTTTTGGAGTCGCGCTGGATAATTACACATTCATCGGGCGCGCAACTACAAAAACCAGCTCTCCGCACTGGCATATAGGTGCAAGTGCAATACAAGTGGCGATGTTGAGACACGCGGGGGCCGAGCCAAAGCCGATGACAAAGATACGAGCCACGTTTCCGCAGCGTACAATCGCCTCTTCGAAATCCGTAATTCCGAGTGTTTTTTTCCGAGTCCTGCGTGCGAAAAAAAGTCTCTTATCGTCTTCGGCGGTGGCAATTTGCATCGGATTATTATATAGCTGCTATTTTTGGCCACGCGACCGACGACGACGATGACAAAAGCAAAATGAAAACAAAACAACGTCAAACGCGCTCTAGTGCAACGCCAGTTTTATAGCAGTGACGATGCGCATAAGCTTGTGTGTGTGTGTGTGTGTGTCATGCAGAGTGCGAGTGGGTAGAGGGAGATTTTTCGCCGCTTCTTTATACACACACGATGTATATATAGGTGTAGTTAATAGGTATAGATATATCGAGCGCATCAGGCGCGATGTGCAACTTTGGTATGCTATATGCTGCTATATAGGCACCGGGCTGAATAGCATATATATAGCATAGCACACGATCAGGCCACCAGATTGACGCATGCGCATCGCAGCTCGGCTTGCTTTTAGTATACATGATGTATACCTTGCTGGTTGCTGCTACTGCTGCCTTTCTGCCTCTCTCTCTCTCTGCTTTTTCTGTAATGAGGCGGCTTGTGTGTAGGTCTATCTTCGTTTACAAGATCTGATCGGATGTTATGGATGTGCGCGATCTAGTACTCGGCTGCTACGACACACCAGGTAGCGAAATATACGGAGAATTATCCGTGTCGGTGCAACGACGATATTATACACCTGTCTGCGTAAACTACGTGAATGAGATTGACAAACGTCGTCTTCGTCGTCGTCGTCAGCACAATCATGTCGATGGTCAGACGATGACGACGATGGCTCAGCAGCGAGTTAAATAGGATGGGAAAAGAGAAATTTTTCTGTCGAGCTGATCGTAATCCGATTCAGCTCTTTTCGATGTTTTGCCATGTTAATTTCGACAGAGAAAATGGAAGCTCGAGCTGGCATCATGCGATTTATACGTGTCGATGAGTGTCCTGAATTTGGCTAACATGGTCCCCATTGGGTGCTGGTCAAAATCGACCTCCTCATATACGTCAACGAGTGGCCGAAATTCACGATGCTCTCTATCTCGATCAAGCCACGTCTATCAGAAATGACTCGTCGCACGAACATGCAGTAGTCTTAGATATAACGTGTTTCGTGTCAAGGGCTTGGCCTTAAAAACTCTGTCCAAAAAATTATCCGTGACTCGCGTCTTCGTTTCTTTACACGAATGACTCGTCTGACAATGCGATAGATGGAACCGGTACGTTTAATAATCGCAGGCGAATCATATATCTACGCACTCGAGCGGGAGAGATAGTGTTTAGTCTAGTGCTACACGTCGCTCTCTTGCTCTACCTATCGGTCGGTCGGTGCTTGCGCATGGGACACGATAAGAGATCGAAACTCGCGATTAAATGGGAGTAAACCGCGAGCCGATACGGACACTTGGCACCGCACGCGCGCCCATAAAAATTAAAGCGGCGCCCCTGATCCCGTCAGCCGACATACACATCGAAAATGTCTCCTCCGCGGCGAGCCATCGTATGTTCTATGATAAGCTCCAAATTTTTTGACTGGGCTTGTTCTTTTTCGATTTCTAACGGGCGGCTTATTCGTGCAACGGGTCGGCGTTTCCATACAAATTATAGATTTCTCCACTGACAAGTGACGAGACGTCTCCAATAGGTATAGGCGCAAAAAGTCACTCTACAATCGTGTGTTATTGTTTACATGAATGAAGTTTGAATGGTTGCGGGGCTTACCTGGTGTTTTCAGTGGTGGTTGGGTTGCTGGTCACTTCTGTGCCGTAGGAATTCATTTTGTCGATGATGCTGGTTTGTTGGCTTTCCAAGAGAAATGCTAAAGTTGATCGAGGCTCGATCGAAATAGTTTTCACGTAATGTAGAGTTTGCACAAGTATCCAAAAGTATGGACAAAGTCGAAGCACTGTCGAAGACCAAGTGTGTCTGAGTACAACAAAGTCTTGGCTGGAAAATTGCCCGACGACACGTTCAATGCACTGGTGGAGAGTCACGCCTTCTCTGTCTCTGTCTATATAGGTACTGTGCGATGTGTGCGCAGAGAAACAAAATATATAACAACAAAAAACGGAGAAGCTGTCTGTGTATGTTTTATATATATATATAGGTTTTGTGTTATATATATATACAATGTATCCGTCCGGTGGTGATGCGGCTTTTAAAGAGTCCGTTACGAGCGCTAGCTGCGAACTGAAGAAAATACTCGCCTCTATGCTGCTGCTACGCTCGGCTCGGCCTGGCGGAATTCTCAAAACGAGAAGTAGTAGCAGCGGCAGCAGCAGCAGCAGCAGCAGCAGACATCCAGTTGACTAGTGCTACAACATAGCCCCACTCGCGGTGCAAAACACACATACAAGCTCGTGACGTAGCAACTGAGAGTGTATCGCGTTAATACGTACGCGTATATTTGCCCCCACTTTTGACTCCCACCGGCGTACTACGTACGTAGCGTGTACCGATGGTCGAGGATCGCGCCTGTATATAACTGCTCGCGGATCGGATGCTTCCGAGGGGAGGTAAGAAAAGGGGAAATTGTCACGTGGGCCGCTCGCGCGTTACAGGGTGAGCCGAGCCTTTCTGGGGTGCTGGCTGGCTGGCTGGCTGGCTGGTTGCATCTAGCGGCGCCGCGTGTAACACGCCCTGCACGCACACGCGCGCCTATATGCATGTTATTATGTAGCGCACTCTCGGCTCTAGATGACGCATAAAATGTGCAGCCGGCCGCTTTCCTCTATATATACAGTATACATAAGAAACAGAGAGAGAGAGAGAATAAGAGAGAACGAGAGGCAATAATAAACACGAGTCGCTGCAATAGACGCGTGTGCTTCATACGACTGTATATAGGCTCGTGTAGGACGCGCTGCGATCGGAGCTTTGCAAGTTTCGAGAACTCGATAGCTGGCTTCTGTGCATGTATAATGTGGCCCGCTTATTATCGTGCCCGAGACATTCGGGCCAAACTACTCGCATACGCAAGAATTTTTTTACCTTTTCTCTCTCTCTCTCTTCTTTTACTTTTTCCTCGTCGCTTACCATATTTTTCGTACCATGTGCCGCTTGTGCGTTTCTCCATTGTCAAGTCTGTTTTTTTGTTATTGCGTAATGTCCGAACGACAACGACGACGTAGATTCAAGACTTTCCTCTGGCTGCTCTCACACGTGTCGCGGCTGCCCGTGACGATTTTTCAGAGCTTTATAATTATTCGTCGCTGATTTTTCGCGTCATAGAAAGAGAGAAAGACATATTGCTGTCTCATGGTTATGTAGACTTTGATATGTGCATGCATCAAAAAAATTCCACGCAGAGTCCGCGCGAACCCAAAATCTTATTGCGCATATTCCGAATTTTACAATACACACGAGGATGATATTAACTATTAAGCGACATTCCTGCACAAATTATTATATCGATTTTGGAGTCTTCTCGATCTACATAGCACGAGATTATATCTCCGTGTTCACGTGAACTTTTCAGGCTCGTGGTATTATTTTTTATATATACATATAGCGGGTGCGCGTGTGGGTATAACTGTGTATCTGAGCGTTTCTAGAAGATCATTGACCTTCTATGGGTCCCCCTTTTTTACGCTATGTTTCGCGCGTGCGTTTGCACATAATACGCTGTTGTACGAATAACGCCGATACGTTAACAACGATTATATAGTCGCTTCCTCGTTTTGCGCGCTCCGGCCTATGTACAGTAGTTGCTCGTCGTGCGCGATTTGTTTTTCCGTATTGTCGTTGCCTTTTTTTCTCCCTTCAACGAGAATCGGATCAACTCGCGGAGGCATATATTATGCATACACGAACGTCGCACGTGGAAAAATGAGCTCGCCGTGTCATCGGCCGGGACTTGCAACGAGCTTCGATACAGCGCTCTTATACACGTTTACAACTCATTTATTACAGCTATCGCGCGCAAAAATCTATATTTACTGAAAATGACAATCGCGCATGGATTTTTAGCTCTCGCTTCCGTAATAATACTCATGCGTATATAGATGAGTTATTTATACGAACTCTTAATAATTATGTACATAATTGTCAACTTTGACACATCTTTTGCGGTTGTAGAGACACGCGCAGTACATGCCGAGATCTATACGCGCTTCGTCTCATCCGAGCCTCTGCCACAAGAAGAAGAAGAGGAAAAGGAAAAAGAAACATTATTTTATCTCCTATCTTTCGTTTGCGAGCTGCCTAAACGCGAACGAAAAAAAAGAGCCCCAGCGACTTGCGTTCGATCGCCGATATATTATACACGTTTATGTATATTGTACACACACGTTCGCTTCACGTGATCTAACGATTCTCTTCACGCGCGCTGCCGCATACAATGAGCGAGCGAGCAAACTAGCTCGCCTGATTTCTCTTTCCTCAAACCAAATTTTTCTTTTATCGTACAAGTATAGGCTGGGCTCTTCTTTTTTTTCTCTCTCTCTCTCCCTCTCTCCCTCTTTCATTCGTCCATTTTTTATTCCCATTCCTCCATTTGGCGGATTAGACCATATGCTCGAACGACGTCAAACATCGAATTATTTTGTGTTTTTCATCGCGCTCGTGTTTGTCTATTCGTTTTTCAAGTCCAAGGGGAGAAAGTGTGGAAGTATTCAAACTTGTCTGTAATATAAGTATTTATTAGGTGTGGCGTGACGATTTTGAGGCAGTGACGCGAGAACAACGCACGACTCTTGTAGACTAAAAGGTCGAATTTTGGAAGCTCCGTTTTTATCAATTTTTTTTTCTCTGTTTTTATTTTCAAATGCTCGCGAACGATTTCATAATAAAAACAATCGGTGGTGTTTGGCTCCGGCTAGCCAACGACAGCTGAGTTGCATTCTATTTTTGTTTACTCTCTTTCTCGGTGACATTCTACACTTGACGTTCATCGCTCGAGAGAATCAGTCGAAAATTTCCTACCATAATAGAATACTTTTTTTTTCAAATCGAAACTGCGCTTTTAAAATCCAAACTAGGTATTGAAATCGAATATTAATCGTGCGGCGTAGTTCAACAAACTTAGACCAAAGAGACGCGGCTCTATATTCGTGATGACTCATGAATCGCTATGCTCAAGAATTTCTTTACACATTAAAATATGCCGATTTATAATATTTATTTTTTCTAAATTACTATAAGTGCCTCGATATGATTTCTCAATCCCGCGTTCATATGCCAAAACGAATCCATTATTGGAATCTTGAGCAATGCGAGTACCATTGCACAGCCGTAGAAATGAATTTTATCGAAAATTAAGAGGAAAAATGTGCGTGACCGAGACCTTTATTTATATTATATTATATTACCGTGATTCTTTAAGAAAAATTAAAGAATCACTTCTCTTCTGGCATATTCGCCGCGTTAAACCGATCATTTAAACTTATTCGCCTGACTAGTCGTAAATTAGTTTTATAAAATTATATTTTTAGCAACCGATTCAACACTTCAATGGCGTTTTAAAGCTAAAATCAAAAATAGACTATATGTCAAAATTGGTAAAGGCGTATTTACATTTTGCCGAAAATTAAAAAGAAAAAAAATTTTAATTAAATTGTTACGCAATTGCCGTGAGAACAAGAGTTCTCGTTACCGATATTTCATTGAACGTGACCATAGTGCGCGCCATTGCTGATTCTGATGGTTCGAACAATTTAGCATCTTGGCAGGGTCACGATAATTTTCGAGAAAATTTCCGAATTCAACCGATACAAAAACTTGGAGTGCAGGCGCAAATTTAAATTTCATATTTTATAAATACGTCAAACGCGATAATGTATTGACGGCTATGTTTTTTCTTTTGCGCGTAAAGCGAATAATGCATTTTAAAAGATCTCGCTAAAGCGACGTAAATAATACATTATATACACACACGTGAGGAGAAAATTTTCACCGATGGATTTTGTAATGTCTTACCTAATATAAGTGCGTATTTTGATTGCGAGCTTGTATATACGCAGCAGCAAGCATCATCATTGCGTGGCTAATTGTCTTCTTGACCAGTCTTAACGACACCAGCTAATGCGATCGTATCGATCGGCAACGTAATTATAAACAGCAGCTAATAACGTTGATCTAAAAAAAAAGAAGCTATAATCTTTCGGGCTACGGCTAATCGTGCGAGCGCATCATTACACGAGGTATACGCTTGCGTCAAAATATACACCAAAGAAGAAGAAGAAGAAAAGGCAAAAAAGCAATCCATGCCAGATCGTTTATCGCGTTAAGCGCGGAAGCTGCCCGATCGTCCCGGACCGAAAATCTTTCCGCATTACCGAAGCAGTTCAGCCGATCATGCGCTCATTGAGTGGCTCATTCTCAATCGAGCTGTCGTATCAATCATAGCTGCGTTTGTAAATCAAATTCTAGACAATTGAACGGAATGGCATTATACGAAAATCATAACAATGCTAAAAAGCGATTGTGAAGTTCAAAGCTCTCTCTCTCTGTTCGCAGTCGAACGGAATAATATAGGCTAGCAATCACGCTGCGAGCGTATGATTTGCTCGGAATCTCGCGTGTTATTCTAACGAATCCGGCGCAGAGAAATGCGCATGTGATGTATACATGCTTTCGTACACTCGATCGACTCGTTATAATGGTCAATCAATCGGAATATTTTTTTCACTTTGATCGAGGATTATGAAGAAATGTATAATGTGCACACAAATGCACAGCGTTTAACTACAAATACTCGAGAATATCTCGTTGGCGTGCTTCATTGGATCGGCGATTCGTATATATTAAGCGCCCGATTATCGATCGGAGCGCGATTAATCGCGATCGAGCTATCTGCTTGTAATCCGATCGCAGCGATATTATGCATTAATTAATTGGCGCGTGAACAACGGCATGAGCAGCTACCTAACCGAGAGCATCCTGTTTTCTCATGAGGTCATTTTTGTTGTATACATTATATATATAGAGAGAGATACGATTGCCGCGCGCGCGCGCGAAGCTCAATGTCAGGGACTTTTGCGGCGATGTAATCGCGCTGAGAAGTCGACTAATGACTGCCATATGCGCGGGTGTTATACCGATCCGCGATGTTATTGTTTTTTAAAACGTCATCGAGTTGCAATGCGCGATAAACTCTAATGAAACTGCTTTTTTCTCAAAGTCCGCTATGGATTGAGTTACAGAGATTTTTCGGTAACGATTTTTGAAAATGAAAAAGTTGGCCGCTAAACGCGACTGCCATTGATCCACGTTATTTACAGATATAAGATGGCGTTAGATTTATTTCGATACGAAACATCATGATTTTTCTCGAAACTCTACTTATGTCGGAACGTCGATCGTTAGAGAAAGGAAGGAAATTCTCGAACCGATCGACTCGCTTCTAGATTCGTACAAATCTATACTTTTGCATCGAGTCGTAGTGAAAATGTTGTCGAAATGTCATTATCTCGTCGCCGAGTACGAAAGAAATAGCTTAGATGTGTACACGTATATAGTTGCGAGCCTTTGAGTGAATCACACGATCGCACAATGAGCCCGGCTAATGGATGTAACGATGACGAGTGTACCAGCGCATCGACGACGATAACGATGACGATGACGAGGATGACGATCTCGAGCGCTGCGTCGCAGTAGCCCACGAGATACGATTTGTATACTCTCTCTCTCGGAGCGGCAAAGCTGGCGAACGCGCGCGACAACGACGAGCGACGCCGAGGAGGAGCGACAGAAGCGCATGCAGCTGCCGTTAATAGAGCTCTAGGTATGCATATGCTCGGTGTAGTGTGCTCGTACCCTACCCCTCTTTGCCAGCGACATATAATGTATATCGTAGTATCGCACCACCGCACCAAGCTCGTTTTGGATTGGTCGACCGTCGAACACGCCAGTAAACCGTATAGTTCAACGAGGCGATATACACATCCATGTATATCGCGGATCCGATACTCGAGTCTCTATATCTATACACAATCTCGTATTTACTACGTTTCTATTGTATACGCACATGTGTCGGGCGTCGTAGCAGGAGGCGAGCCAATCATCGCTAATATACAACTATATGCTCGACGACTCCGAACTCTCGAGTGTGTAAAGACGAGCTTGCGCGCGCGACTTTCGACATCAGTCAAGATGAGCCAGTGAGCTTCACGGCAATGAGACATTTTCCTTTCTCTCACCTCGTTTCGGTGCAAAATAATAATGAAATATTTTTGGCCTTTTTTTAACGCCTCCACTATAAGCAACTTATAGTAGTACCGATCGATTGCATCGCGCTCGACTCGTTAAAACCATCATCCCCGCGAGCATTACGCCTGTTGCGCATTACACACTATTATTTATTTCGGTCTAGCTATTATAATGCAACTATTTTTATGTAATGTGTTTATAAATCATATATGCACTAATCGTTTTGTCACTTTTTTCACGCGCACTTTTTGCCGCGCTAAATTATCAATCTTTCTTTTTTCCGACCTCTCGTGACACGATAAAAATAACAGCCTGTGAAAAAATCTTTTTATCGTTCCAACAAGATTTTATTATTTCTGATAATGACAAATCTAATTGAATGCTTCTACTTTAATACATACTTATCTACATTACTGAAAATGTTTTGATTTATGAGTTTTCAGAAAATTTTTAGACAACGAATTTTTCTTAGAATAATTTTATCGACCAAAATTAAGCTTAATGAATGTACCCATGTTATAATCATTCAAAGCTGTTCAACATGAAAAAAATTATACAAATTTCAGAATGTTTAATGATTTAATTCTCTCTGCGCGTAGTTCTTAAATGCAATAATTCGTAGTTATTAATAATAATTAATAATTAATAATGTATAATTACATTCGTAATTCATAACCAACCATGCTTTCATATTTATTATATATAATGCAGAATACTCAATCTTCATTTACTCGACGAACTTATTTTATTTTATTTAACTTAATTTATTTAATTTAATTTAATTTTAGCATTTGTTTCACGTATTGGTAAAGCAAAAAAATTTTTTTAATTCGTTGAGAGCCTCTAAAATTTATTTTAAAATTTAATAGCTGAGCAAAGTTAAAAAATGTTTGCTTAATTCTGAATGAAATTGAATTGCTTTTAAATTTATGTACATAATTTTATTCATTTCATCGATTAAGATACACTTTTATCGTTTACAAAATGCCATTTAGATTAAAACATTCTATAATTTCATTAGATAGATCTTTTTTAAGTACAAATTATTCGCAAAGATAACACTCATTATAAATCTATAATAATATCACTTTAAAATATGGTGTATTATACATTGACAATTTACAACTATGCTCCAAAATTACACTATTATATTATTAACTATATTAAAACAATTATTATAAATTACTCAAAGAAATTAAAAATTCAATAAAAATATGTGTAGACGATAGCCGCTAATTCATTGGAATAAAATTAATCTCTGTATAGAGATTCGGAATATATTATGCACCTTAAGAATGAGAACTAAAATGCTTGAAATTGCATGATTTTCATTGTCAATATATATGCGCAATTTTAGACTTTCTCAAATTAATTCACCTTAAGACATGATATTTACTATTTTATTAAAATAATTCATTCTATGAAAACAATGATTGATAAATAGTACAATAGTTGATATAGTGAAAAAAAGCTTCTCTGTACTTAATAACTAAACATGTACAATTATATACAACTTAATTTTTTTATAAAAAAAAAACTATACTGTTAGCGACTAGTAAAAAATATGAGTAAAAAATTACAGTTTCAAGTCATTAAAACAAAAAAAATTTGTTATTTAGAATATTTAACCACTTAAATAGATTGAATGTATAAAAATATCTTTTTATAATCAAAGAATATCTATGTGTAAATATATAAAAAATTAGCAATTTGCTTTCTCTTTGATAGTTCACAGCTATTTATCTGTCAATTCTTTTGACTGAATATAATTTTTCTGTTAAAATGTTGTGCTTTTTTTTATAGTCTGAGGTTTTTTTAAATAAGCTGTCCATATTTAAATTGTATATTTCAGATGCTCTGTAAAGGCAGGATCATCTTGATTATTTTTCCAGCAAGATGAAAACATTAATCTGCTCTAATAGGTCTGTGTAATGACATTGTATTATTTCTATAGACATGAACTTGACCAAGGATAGCTAAGTCGATTAAAATTTGAAGCATGCCACAGAATGCAAACTGAAGTGGTGCCCGTCGCTGAATAAAGTAGCCAGTCTTAAATGAATCACCTACAGTCCACATAGTGACCATTGCAATACTGAAAAATTATAATAAAAAGTTTAACGTCAAAGCATATAACAGTTTTTAAAAAAAAAGTTACTCATAATATTCATTTTCTTTAATACCTCATTCCATGAGTAGACTTATTTCTATAATTCTTAAGAAATTGGGGTAGTGCTAACATTGCTTCCGTTAATAAGGCAAGAAGTCCTATAGACTCCACAAATAATGGAATGTCAATGAACACATACATCATCATAGCTCCCACAATGCCAAAAATTAGAACAAAATCAATGTATGACTGAAAGTCTGTCCATTTCCAAAAATATTTAGTTTCAAAATCTATGTGCAAGTAAAATAAAACAAATAAATTAAAATGCTAGAAAAAACTAAAAACTGCAAAATAAAGTATACAACAAGCAATACAAAATTTAATCTAATAATAAAAAACCACACAAACAAATAATTTTTTGTTTAATGTAAAAAGTAAAACTTATGTATACCTGTGAATGTTCGTTCTTTCATTTTGATTAACTGTTGCTCATTTTGTATAGAAACACAAACTTTTATCATATATAACATTGCAATTATCATTAAAATACTTTGAAGTAATAGAGGTGTTTCAAAATGTCTTCCAAACCTGAACATTAAAAAGTCACTTATAATAAAAATGGACACTGATTAAATATTGATTTTGCATTTGAACTAATAACTTACCAAAATAATATTCTCAATGTATTCGCTATTAAAAGAACTAAACAGATATACAGGGAAAATCCTTCACAATCTTGTTTCCTTATGATTTCTTGATATTGTGGAATAAAGGGTACAATACCACCGAAGATCATAGTCAATGATGCTATTGCTCCAGCAACATCATTGATGGTCAGTCCTTCCCATAACTTCACCATTTTGAAATGATTTTTTGACTATGTTTCACAAATTAAGACTATAAAAACGTCAACTACAAATGATGTAGCTTAATTTCATCCTAAGTTGCCTCTTCTGGAACGATTAGATTTTTGTAAAACTTCAATTTATTTACTATTCATTTCCGGTTTTCAATTCAAGTTATTACTAAACATGAAGAAATACTTGTTAACTCTTGCATTTTCACGCACGTGTGTTTCAGTTCAGCGCTTCTTCTTGAATGGCAAGTAATGATTATTTTTATATCTTCATCGCCACTTGTGTTATGCAGTACAGGAGCTCACCCAGCCCATAGAAAATCCAAGCTTGAAAGCTCCACATTCGTGTTTGTCCTTGTCGTACACCGACGTGTTCAATGGAAAATTATTTTTATAATTCTAGTGCAGACAGCTTATTGCGCATATGGCGCCGCAGCCCGCACGTTATATTTTATATATATGTTTTGAATAGTGTTGCCCATTTTCATTCTAAAATTCACAAATAAACGCAAACTGTTTCTATTAAATTTCTACTTTACCGATTTTAATCATTTTTGAATTACTAATTTTATAAGATATGAACCACAACATTGAAATAACAAAATGGCATTTAACTGTGCTCATTAATAACATTTATTTATTCAAGATAAATATTATACTTATTTTCTTTTATTTTCTCTTCAATAGATGTCGTAAGACCATATTACTAGAAGATTGAATACTTACAAAAATTTTTTTCACATAATAAAGTTTGAATTGACAAAATTTCAATTTTTCTTTACTTTTGAATTTGACCATTTAAAATTAACTAATTTAGAGGAGTAAAAATACCAGTTGAGTGGGAAAATGTCAATGAGTAAAGAAAACAAGGCTTTAACAAAATATATGATTTTTATTTACAAATAATAAAACATTTTGAAAGTTTAAATAATACCAATTTTGTTGGCAATGTCAAGTGCATCATTTCCCACATCTAATTTTACACAAGCTTTTTTCTGACCATCTGGCTGAACTTGAGTGTTGACTTTTGAAACATGAACATCATACAATTTTTCAACAGCACTTTTTATGCTTGATTTGTTGGCTTCAGAATGAACCAAGAATACTATTGTGTTTTCTTCTTCAATCTTTTTCATTGAATTTTCAGTTGTTAGAGGATGTTTGATAATATTATGAGCTTCCATGCTAAAACCAAGATAAGAATTTATCATTTCAATCTTGTAAATCTTGAAATAATTTTAGCATACTTCTAACTTCTAGTACACTTATAATTTTGACAAAATGTAATGTAATCATACAAACCGATTTCGCGTAGGTATACTTTTTCTTGGATACTTAGGATTTCTTTCAGGTCGAGAAGTTTTAGGTCTTCTCCAATGAACATGGCTGTGATTTTTATGGTCTTTCTTATTTGAAACTACTTCTGTCACCTATAAACGTTTTCATTTTAAACAGCATAACTTTATTTCAATTATCCATTCTGATTGATGTTTTAAAACATTAGATATCAATACACAGCACAAATTATTATATTTACCTTGTCTTGTGACCCAAGAGCTTTGCCTATATCTGCAATTGAAAAATTATTTTTATATTTTATGTGTATTGAAAGTCAAATAACTTAAATCATGAAGTGAAACAAAAATCCATGAAAATAATATCATTATTACTATAAACATCTTTATGATTATGTTTAGAATGTGTCCCAACACTTTTACTTTCCATTATTTTTCAAGTGTTACACTAAATACAGTGACTGAATATATCTTACTTGCAGTGGTAGACATTTTACAGTGTATTGACATTACTTGATGTTACTACCCATATTTACTCACAAAGCTAAAAGCACTTTAATGGTACAGAAAGAAACGTCAAATCTCAATAAGTCTGTCAGTTGCTAATTTGGCGCTAGTGTCGATCCTCGCTGTTTTTCTGCCGCTTGACTCTCACGCAGCCTTTTTCTCGGTCTCTCGTTTTCACATGTAAAACACGTTGATTCTACTAATTCAAGATGGTACGTTTTATCATCAATAATAAAATAAATTCCATGTTTCATCAAATTGTTCTTAATAAGTCGTATTTTGAATTAGTTATTCCCTCTTAATTCAGTGTATTTATGCATTTTTAGTGCTGGTTTTAATTAAAAAAAAACATTTTAAACTCCCTATAACCTAAATAGGTATCTTGCACTGGGATCTCATGATCATTTTGTAGAAATAAGATTTAATTTTTTTTATATATTGTACCAAAGTGTGTAAAATATGTGAAAGTTATGATTACTCTTAACACTTCAATATTCATTTAAAAATGATTTGTCAATTTTTAAACTTTAGTAGCGTAACCTTAACATGATATTTATATCTCATACGGACTTTTTTAAATTATACAAATTTGATGGTTCATTACTATTTTATTGTGATATCCAAAACAACAAGTCCCAAACATCACCGTAAATTTGTTTAATTGTTTTGCAGGCGCGTGGTCCCAAAAAGCATTTGAAGCGGCTTAATGCCCCCAAGGCGTGGATGCTGGATAAGTTGGGGGGTGTCTATGCCCCTCGACCATCCACCGGACCCCACAAGCTTCGGGAATCTTTGCCTTTGGTGATTTTCCTGAGAAATCGTCTCAAGTATGCATTGACCAATTCAGAAGTTACGAAAATTGTGATGCAGCGTTTGATCAAGGTCGATGGCAAAGTCCGCACAGACTCAAACTACCCTGCTGGGTTTATGGGTATGTATCAAATGTCACAACTGTTGTATATCTAAAGGTCTATTATAAGAATAGTAATACTTTCATCATGAGTACTATTGATGTACAAGACCAAAGTAAAATTTCATTCTTAGGTCACTGATTTAACTGTCATTATTTCTTCAGTATTACCCAGATTGAAAACAATAATTTACTTATTTTATAGTACCAGATAAGTTTAGATTTTCACATTTTAATTTTTAATATTTATTCAGATGTCATCACCATTGAGAAGACAAACGAATACTTCCGCTTGATCTATGATGTCAAGGGACGTTTCACGATCCATCGCATCACACCAATTGAAGCTGCGGTAATTTAGAAAATCATTAAGAATCAATATTATTAAACTTTTACTTTTGAGTACATCAATAATGACAAATATTTTGTGAATTTTTAGTACAAACTGTGCAAAGTCAAGCGCGTCCAAACTGGACCCAAAGGAATTCCATTTTTGGTAACACATGATGGTAGAACCATCCGTTACCCCGACCCTTGCATCAAGGTCAACGACACAATTCAGTTGGAAATTGCCACAGGCAAGATCCTTGACTCAATTCGTTTTGACAACGGTAATAATGATTTTATGGAATTACTTTGCCAACTCATTACAGTTGATACTCATTGATCATATTTTTATATAAATTTTATTTTTACAGGAAATTTGTGTATGATCACTGGAGGGCGAAATTTGGGTCGCGTTGGTACAGTTGTTAACCGTGAACGTCATCAGGGATCTTTTGACATTGTTCATATAAAAGATGCCCAGGGACATGTTTTTGCCACACGGTAAATTTACAATGCAATAACATTTTGATTATTTTATTTTGATATAAACATGAGTTTTTTAATCATAAATTTTATATTTTAGCCTTAACAACGTGTTCATCATTGGCAAAGGTACAAAGCCCTATGTCAGTTTACCCAGAGGAAAGGGTATCAAATTGTCCATCGCTGAAGAGCGTGATAAGAGATTAGCTTCCAAAGGTGGTCTTTAAAATACATTATTTTAATATCCACAATAAACAAATTATTTTTACATCTTGCATACATTATTTATTAAAATCCCAATACATTTTTTTATCAAAATACCACTAAAATTACATTTAATGACAATTTTTCAAATACCACGATTGCAATGACAATGTCAATTAAAAGTAAGCTTTATAATGCATTTGACATGATTTACGTAATACATCATTTTAATTGACTTATCATAATTGAAATGTATTTGAAAAAAATACGGCGGAAATTTCTTTACCAATTGAGTAGTTCAATTCGGCGATACTTCGTACTGCATTGCAGGCACTAGCTGTTCCGATCGCACCGCGCACGGCTCATACACGAATGATCCAAATAAAAACATGTTAACCTCATAATGTAAGCTCTTTGAATAATTTTACGTGATTTTGCACACGAAATTGAATATTTGTTTAGTATTTTAAATAATACGAAAATTCTTCATGCTCTGAATATTTTAAATATTTTAGCATACAAGTAAGCAACTTATTTTTCTCCTAATCTGCTCAGAAAATTAATATGAAAACCAATTATATTTTAAATTTCAAATAAAAAATCAATATTTATGTAATATTTACAGCATGATTGTGTCAAGATTCATGGTATACTCTTTGCAACATAAAAATATTTTTTCTTCGACTACATCAATTGGTGCAATAAAATCTATTTACTATTCACCTGTAAATTCATTTCACTTGAAAAGTTCTACTAATCAAAAAGCTGTTACTAAATCTGAGCAAAGTGGATCTGACGGTCAGATTCAAGTGAGTTTTGGTGAAAAAGGTCTTTGATTAATTTTTTCTTTATTAAGTAAATACACAATTGTGTAATAAAATATGATTTAATTTTTAGTCAAAGAGAATACAAAATCAGCATGGTATTTGTCAGTGATAATTGGTGGAGTTGCTGTGACAGGTCTTATGTTTTATGCCATTTTTAGAGAATTATTTTCTAGTAAAAGTCCTAATAGTGTCTATGCTAGGGCATCTGATTATTGCATTAATGATCCAAGAGTTATAAATATTCTTGGAGAGCCTATTAAAGCTTATGGTGAAGAAACACGTAGAGGACGCAGGGGCCATGTTATGTAAGTCAGCATACTTAGAACTCATTTTTTTTTACATTATTTGAACAAAAATAATAAAAATATTTTTATAGGCATAACATATATGAAAAAGATGGAGCCAAGCATATCAGAATGAAATTCTATTTGCAAGGACCTCGCAAGAAGGCTACAGCACATTTGGAAATGAAAGAGGTATAGAAAATGAAAAATAATGTAATTGCATAGTTCTCAAATAATTATAACCCATTAATCAATACTTTCAGAACGCAAACGGAAAATGGATTTATAGGTATTTATTTATACAAACAGATGATATTTTAAAATCAGTGACTGTATTAGAAGACAATAGAGATGTTGAGGTCTGAAATCCAACATAGACCACTTTCAGTGCAACATAGTTCATATATTACTTACCAATTGTGAAATCAATATTTTTGACTGATGGTAGATTATTGTAAACAAAATGATATTTTGTTGTTACAAAAAGTTATTTTAATTTTTGAATTATTTTATTTTGTAAGTACTCTGAAGTGTTATTTCTTCATGATGAATGTGCATGTTAACTCTAATTCTTGTAATATTCATTCTCCTGATATAATGTGATATAATGTGAAATTTTGAGAATCATTTATAATAAAGATGAAGCTTTATTCATTTAAAACAAATCACTCAACTATTCATTAATAGCAATTAATTATTTTTTACAATGCAAGGACTAATGGGTATGAATATTTGTTCTGTTTAATTTTCTACTTTATGGGCTGATTATTTATTTAGAGCAGTGTTGTATGATATAGGACATTTAAAATCTCTGATTCATCGTTGGACTATTTTTGATACTTTATTTAATTTGAATTTTCTATAACGTCACGTAACGTACCAAACATATCCTGCATAAATGGACATATTCTTAAATTTTTCTAAATTTATTTATTTAGAACTCGTTATTCCTAATCGAAATTAGCTCATCGTTTTTGACTTGCGCGCAATAACCGTCACCGCGCGTCTACATTGACTCTCGAAGCTTGAATAAAAATAAATATGATTTTACAGCACGATGTATGGGATGGGCGATTACTCCTATGAGTGTATTATTTGTACATTGCACTATTGGCCGATGGTCCGCCAACGCATGAAAAAGCTCCGATCTCGCTTATAGAGTTGCGGCTCTAAATAAGATTACGCCTGTGTTACACGCGGTTGAGCCGCGCTCGAGCACATAGAACAACGCCTTTAGCTCTCTGTCCTCTGTTTCGCATGTACCTTTCACAATTTTGTATTAAGAATTTTGACGGCTCAGGCGAAGATTTATAAAGTGACGTTTAATATATGTGCGTGGGATCTCGATTCAGTCCGGTGGATTGAAAAAAAATAAAAATGAATCGGATGTGTAGTTGGTAAAATCTAGAATAGTAAAAAAAATCATAGTGCCATATTTTATTGTAAATTGTGCCGTATCTGCTGCAATTACAAGTTTTAAAAAATGGGTAATTGTTGCTCAACTTGCTTGAAATTTTTCGAGCGGGCTCATAATACGGGAAATGTCGTGCCGTTACTCCCGAAACCGGACAGTTTACCCAAGCCTGCCATAGGTAAGTAAATTCTGTATATTGACAAAATTAATGAAACAATTAGTAAAATATTTATGAACAATTTGAAATCGAAACTAACAAATGTGATTATTCGATCAAACACGTTGAAACGCTACATAACTGTATTGCATTTGGACATGGTCCATATTTAAAGCAAGTCAGACTTCAAAGCGTAACGGGGCTATCTGTCAAACTACATTACAAGCAAAGCATACATGATTATTAATTTAGAAATACATATCGTAGAGCAGGCAAAAAACATATATAGACGCGCGCCTCGTCTGCTTCGGCAATTAATATTAGCTTTAATAGATGAAATATTTATCTATGAACTCACCTAGTTTAGCTCGGGAAAAAGTCTCAAACGAGCCGAGCTCGAGAGCGCGTCAAACGGTATGTCACTCCCTCGCAAAATAATTACGACGACGCGAGTCAAGGCAAAATGTAAATGACATGTGTATTATAAATGGACTGTGCGCGTAATAATTGTCGAAGGCTCGACTTTCGTTATAAAATATGCCTACGAACGTGACGCATTATGTCATTGCCACACACAATAGAATTAGAAGGAAAACAACAAATTAGGCAATGCACAAGCAATAGACGATTTCATTTTCATCCTTTGTGTGGCGAGATTTTGGCCGAACTCGTTGCGTCGCGATGATCGTTATGAATGATGCTACAATCGGCACTTTTATAATACAAGGAGCTCATTGATCTCTCACTTTGTAGAGCGTATACGTCTTGCGTTCGATATCTAATTTCAGATGATCACCCGAGTCGTATCGAGTGCGGCAGATATATAATACATTGAATGAAAGGTACGCGTCACGTCTCTCTATAGTGATTAATGGTTAAGGCATGCCTATTATCAACCTAAACTACTGAACTGAATTTCTCGAGCAGTTGTTATTATCGGTAAAAAATAAATCAGCCGCTGCCGCGCGTATATTTTAATCTTAATGAAATGGCTCAGGTCGAGAATATTTGTTTACGCTCCTAGAGTAGGTCTCGAGTCTCAACGCTTATAATATCGACTCCCCCACTCGTGCATACGCATTATACGCTGCAATTTTGTGCCTACGTTAAATGCATTTCCGCGCACCGCCGGTTTAATAAAACTCTGCATAAGTGCGTCCGAAAATAAAGCAAGTGCAGCGTACGGCGAGTCGCGAATTCGCATATACGCGGGCGCGCGCATGAGTTGCTCAACGGATTTCTGGAAATAGTTTTCGGCTCGATCTCGATTCGACGATGATCGAATGGTCGCGCGAACTCGACAATTGTCGTGTTTTCTTTCGTCGATACGTTAAGCGACTGTATAGTTGATGAAATTTCCTATACGTTCGGACTTCCGTGACTCGTGCCCCGGTGCGCACTGCAGCGATACGCGCGTTGCAAGTTGTATCGGTAAAGTACTTGCGTTACACCTAGAGCCGAAGGTCCTTGACTCGCTTGGCTCGTCGCTCGAGAGGTGCAGCTTTAGCGATGCACGACTTCGCGTACGCGTACGGAACTTGAGTGGATCGAAAACTTCATCGTGTTACATCATTGCCTATCTTCTATTCGTGTATTTTCGATCCCTCGAGTTCGTTTGGCTACACGTGCTAATTGGCAAACTAATCGTTTGGAATGCCTATCGCCGTCATTGTCTGTAAATATTGATGGAAAATTGAAAAAAAAACATAAAATCGATGCAAATTTCAAAATGTCCCAATCGTCAACAACAAAGTATAATAAAAATCAAGGCTCGCAAGCCCTTGCATTTGTCTCAGAGCGCAAAGAAAATTTTCACACGGCAAATCGTTTCGTCCTTTGGAAAGGAAAATCGAATAAAAAAGGCCCTTGCTGCGTAAAATGGATGAGTCGATTGCATCAAGCTGCTTTTCTCAGCGCCTTTCGTGAATCGTTGTATTGCATTAAAAGCTCGCGCGTACGTTTTTATGCGGATGGACTATAGCAACGGCGATCGCGAACACGTGTACGTGTGTGCACGAGCCGCGAATAACTTTGTTAAGACAATTTCTTTCATAGATTTGCAGCCTGTGCCACGCTTTGCTTCGCCGTAGAGCTCCCACTCGAGCGTTGAGTGCAGCTAAGTTGTGTGACTTAATAGCCGAGAGTCCATATATGGGCCCGAATGTATTATACGTTTATATGTTGTCGACGCTGCCGCCGACGCGCTCTATAACAAACCTTGAGCTCTCTCTCTCTCTCTTTAAAGCCTAGCGCTTTTGCTCATAGTTCTTCTCAGCGTACGATGTTCCCTCTCTCTGCTGCCTGTATCGAGTATAGCATATACGCGGACTATGTTGCAGATTTTCAGAGCGAGAAAAGTGCGCGTCTTGGCTTCTAAAGGCCTGCTAAAGGGTAACATGCTGCAGCGACAACAACAATTTCGATCGGAAAGCTGAGCGGCGCGCGTGCGCGATCTTTCTAACTCGAACGAAATCGAGCGACGATGTTTTACCGATTTTACGATAGGTATCGAGTGTTCAACGATCGAAGGAGGAAGCCCTTCCCGTACCGATTTTACTGTGAGTTATTTCTATCGATTGTGCATTTCATCGTTTGAAATTTTTGTATCGGCCCACGAGTTATTTTCGGACTGCAAACGTACCTGCGCTTCGTGATAAACTCAAGTTCGCGCGGATGGAAAGTCGAGTTTCGCGAGAAACTGTAAGTTAAACGAGCGCGCGATTCCTCGAATGCTTTGTGCGCTTAATAATAAAATAAGAACGATTACGCGTCTTCGCGTGCCTCGGCTAATATCGATGAATTATTTATTAACAATAAAAGATTTTTGAAAACGATACAAGTAATAGACTGCTGTACAAGTGCGAGCTTTGAAAAATTGTTTTCTTCTTACATCCGATGTACCGATATATTATAAATACATATTTATTTATGCCTATTATATCGCCGATGAAAATCTAAAATAGCATTGCGCGTGCACCACATGTTTGCGTGTATATATTATATATTATCTTTGGTTCGGCGTTTGGCATTTCCTGAATGGTTTATAAATATTCCAATGCCGTTGTTTTAAAATTTTATATAAATACGATGAAATAGCTTGGAGAGGCTTTCATTCGCTTGGATATGTTTCGACCGAGTAATCGACTACTTTGTTTTACCTTACACGCCCGCATTCGTAACAATTACTAACCCGTCGCAATCGATCATCGTTCATTTTTCCTCGCGATCGTTGACGCGTGTGCAAATTACGATAACAAGGCATTATTATGCTTCAGGGGAGAATCTCCGTCACGCCGTGCTGACCATCGTCAATGTGGACTACTGCCTCGACGAGAACGGGGAGGCCCACCACACGGGCCGCTACGACCTGATGACGCGGGACGACGGCGAGGCCCGACTGGTCGTGCGCCGCGGCCAGCCCTTCGTGCTCGAGGTCAGCCTCTCGAGGAGCTACGATCCGGCCGTGGACGCCGTCTCGCTGGTTTTCACGCTGGAGGGCGTCAAGAGGCCGCAGTACGGACACGGCACCCTCGTCGCGTCGCCCCTGCTGCTGCCCGGCGAGGTCTCGGACGGCGCTTGGCAGACCGTCATCTCGGCCTACGCCGATAATTCCATTAAAATTAAGGTACGTTACGCGCGAACTGCGTAATCTTTTGAGTATTTATACTGCTTGTGACTTCGATGCTACATATGTGTAAAGGTCACACCAGCGGCGGACGCTATCATTGGTAAATGGCGAATCGAAATCGACACCAAGAGGCGAGAGTCCGAAGGGGCCGTCAGCTTCACCGTCGACAGCTCCTTCTACTTGATATTCAATCCTTGGGCTCGAGGTGAGTGCTCACCTATACCTGCATATGCTTACCGATACGATATTTATACTCGCGCAGCTAAATTTATGCATCTAGTTCGCAACGAATGCGTGACGCAAAATTTTCCAATTCATCCATACGATATCCCGCGAATTTCGCTCACTGACGTAAATCGAAACAATGCAGATGACTAAGAAGCGATAATGAAAATGTCAAGAGCAGTAATTTCGTAGAGATTGGAAAACGTCTGGTTTTTGTCGCAGGCGACACGGTTTATCTGGCCAACGAGGCCGAGCGCCAAGAGTACGTTCTCGCTGACACGGGCCTGATCTGGCGCGGAACGAGCAACCGCATGAGGCCGTCCGTCTGGAAATACTCGCAGTTCGAGCGCGACATTCTCGACTGCGCCCTCTTCATGATGACGGAGGTCGGCAGGGTGCGGGTCTCGGGTCGCGGCGATCCAGTCGTCGTTTCTCGATGTCTCTCCGCCGCCGTGAGTTCGATCGTCGTCGCTGATATATAAAAATCGATACATCGAAATGACGATATACGACGTCGCAGGTAAATTCTCCGGACGATTACGGAGTGGTGATGGGCAACTGGACGGAGGACTTTGGAGGGGGCACGCCGCCCTCCCAGTGGATCGGCTCGCTCAAGATCCTCCAGCAGTACTACCGCACGAAGAAGCCGGTCAAGTACGGCCAGTGCTGGGTGTTCGCCGGGGTGCTGGCCAGCGTCTGTCGGGCCCTCGGGCTGGCCTGTCGCGTCATCACCAACTACTCGTCGGCCCACGACACCCAGAACAGCCTCACGGTCGATTACTTCGTCGACGAGGAGGGCAAGCTCATGGAGGAGCTCAACAGCGACTCCATCTGGAACTTTCACGTGTGGAACGAGGTCTGGATGAGGCGGCCGGACCTGAGCGACGCCGACGATTCGGACGGCTGGCAGGTGATCGACGCGACGCCCCAGGAGCTCAGCGAGAACGCCTACCGCTGCGGACCGGCCTCGGTGAGGGCCGTGAAGCGCGCCGAGATCCATCGGCCCTACGACAATAACTTCGTCTTCGCCGAGGTCAACGCCGACAAGGTCTTCTGGCGCTACAACGGCCCGTCGCAGCCGCTCAAGCTCGTCAGGAAGGACATACACGGGTTAGTGCGCGACTCCTTATGACTTGGCTATGAGTTTGCTATGACTTGGCTCCTTTTCTTTCAGCATCGGCCAGTTGATGAGCACCAAAGCGGTCGGCCGCTGGGAGCGAGAGGACGTCACGCACAATTACAAATATCCCGAGAGTGAGTAGCTTTTACCTGGCAAATGTTTCGATTTAACGCGTACTCAATGTTACAACGACGTTTCAGAGTCGGACGAGGAGCGGGCTGCCATGCTGAAGGCGCTGCGCCAGAGCGAGTCGCACTTCAGCCGCTACTACCTCAACGAGGAGTTCAACGACGTCCGCTTCGACTTCGAGCTGCGCGACGACATCGTCATCGGTCAGCCGTTCAGCATCGTCCTGGCGATCAGGAATCAGAGCCGGACGCGGCCCTACCAGATCTCCGTGATACTGCGCGTCGAGGCCGTGAGCTACACCGGCCGACTGGGCGAGCCCGTGAAAAAGTCCGAGAGCGAGCGCCTCGTCAAGCCCGCGGCCTCGGACGCGGTGCGCCTCGACGTCGCCTGGGAGGAGTACGGCCCCAAGCTCATGGACCAGAGCGCCTTCCAGATCTCCTGCCTGGCCACCATCAAGGACACCAACTTCGAGTACTTTGCGCAGGACGACTTTCGCGTCCGCAAGCCCGACATCAAAATCCAGGTTCGCAGCCGTCCGATTCCCATGACTCTATTGAATTATTCCCTCGAACGACGCATCGATCGCCATATCGTTTCTTTTCAGCTCGACGGCGAGCCGATGGTCGGCGAATTGCTCGAGGCAACGGCGAGATTCCGCAATCCGCTGCCGATACCTTTGAAGCGGGGAAAATTCATCGTCGAGGGCCCGGGCCTCAAGGAGCAGCTCAAGCTCAAGCTCGTCGAAAACGTCGAGGTGGGCGGTGACGCGGTCTGTCGTTTCTCCCTGACGCCCGATCGTCCGGGCAGGGCCACTATAGCCGCCAAATTTTATTCCAAGGATCTGGACGACGTCGACGGCTACACGAGTTTCGTGGTTCGGCACCGGCCCTACGTCAGCTCGGGATAGCCATGAGCTGCGATGCTCTTCTCGCTCCAAGTTTTCTCGACGAGCGTCTGCTCGAATCTTGTGTACAGTATTTTGTAAAAGTATCGCCGTTGAGTTACCATTTTTCATGCAGAGAACTTTAATTAATCATTTTTATTGTAACGATTTAAGTTTAGTACTTTTTTCACTCAGTATTCTTATCAAATTTGTAATTTATAAAAATCATTCAATAAATTTTACTAACGTAACTTATTGACAAAATGTTTATTACTGTCAGTTTATATTTATACACGTAATTACCTCCAATATACTGACCTGCTAATGAAAAACATATGCTTGGTTCATAAACACGATAAGAGTGACTTAAAACGAATTTTCGCATACATCGATGCTAACCAAAATACATACCAAATTTTATAATTATTTTTCACAGCAAAAAATTTTTAATAATTAAATGACAATGAACCACAGGAGGCCAATAAAGGTATTCAAATAACCAAAGGGTACACCATGTTGAATAATCTTCAAACTTACCATCGTTTAACTTATCAAATAGATATTACAGTGGACAAAAGATCTGCTCCTATTAGATGAATGCAATTGCGTAGCAGTTCATAAAAATTAAAACTATGTTATCATTACATTCGTCATTTCGAAGGATCGAAATATTTGGAAATCTCTCGATTACAGATCTCAATCTAAAACGCGTAGCCAGTGGTCTAATTGATCAAAATTTCTTCATCTAGGTTTAATGGTCGTTGATGATCTCTGTGCCGTTTTGTTATGGGGTGAATAAGTATAATTTTATTTGTAGTATTTTTTGTTATTTATTCAACTGTTACAACTGATTTAAATATCAGTAAAATTATCACAACATTTATTACTCTATTTGTTTAGGCTTAAGTCCTTAATCAACGTTCGTCAGATTAAATTGTATCACTGAGTCGTATAAATAATAAAGACTCTTTATTTCTAAGTTTCAGAATTTTTATATTTCCTCGTTCACCTATCCTATAATTAATATTATTGGTAATATTCATCAATTTTTAATGAATTTTGAATGAATAATTACACTATTCACGTTCGCAATTAAATAATTACACTGCACTCGTTTTTAATCTATTGATATAAAAATATACTTGAAACCTAATGCTCAGCATTACAGCAATCTCATAAACTGTTTTTTCATTAACGTTTTTAAATCTTATGTCACTAAATATTACAATGAAATTAACGATATAATTATTAGGCAGTTGAACAATAACTTGTGAATCCTATAAAACTAATCAAACAAAGACCAAAGTTCTAAATGTCTTTGCGCTTTTGTAAATTTAGAAAATTGATTCTGATTCCAACAACTTTAGTTTTCATTGATTAATGGTTGATTCAATCTTGCTTTTTGTTCTTTTTCAACAATTTTCATTTTATTAAATTGTTGTGGCCAACTTTCCATATCTCGCTCATAAATCTGAAGCAAAATAGATAATGTCATTAGTAATATAACAGACTGAAACGACTATAGATTTTGTTTTCATTCACATTGAAAAAAAAAATACAAAGAATTTGAAAGAGCTATTACCATGCTAACGAATCCCATGACTTTTCTTACTGGTAATTCTACAAGAGCCCTGGAACCCCACATGAATTCTACCTCTTCGTTTTCAATATCATTACCTTTAGGTTTGATCATTTCAAGGTATCTTTCTTTTACAAAATCCTGAAAGAGAAACATACAGTTAGTATATATGTAATGTTACAAATACACTAATAATATTTACAACCTACCTCCTTAATTATATTCAGCACATTTCCAAACTGTTCATTAATCATATTACCATCATCTCCAAGAATACTCAATTTTTTTAGAAAGTCTATTAAATTGCTCTCTGTTACTTTTTCATTACTCATGTAAATATGGGCAAGACAAAAAAACAGGAGTACATATTTGTTTCCTACATCTTCACTAACTTTTAAAAATTCATTTTCAAGTTTATTAACCAAGATGATTTTTCCATTATCATCAACTGCTTTGTAACCGAATACCTGTTTACATATAAAAAATATAAGCCATTAGTATTCATATAGAATTAAAAAAAGTAATATAAGTAGCTTCTCACATCTTCCAAAACTTTTTCAGTTCTACTCATCACCGTTCTGAAACCTTTTCCATGATAATCTACCGCTTTTGGAATAAGCGATTTATTGATAGGAGTTTTGTTTCTATCAGCTGCAAGTATATACTTGACAGTATTTGCAACATAATGGGCAATTTCTTCATCGCTCATTTTATTTTTCTGGGTTGAACCAGGAGCTTGAGACCTACTTCCATGAGCTTCACTTTCATCCATTGCATAATCATTATCATTAGCCCTACTTGTACTTGGTTGAGAAAAAGATTTACGTGATTTTCTTGATCTTTGTGACATTTTACTGAAAATCAGAAGCTTAGGTTATAAAATGTTAAATTACTCTATGTACAATTAATTTGTTCCATTAATACCTTATCAAACTTGGAAATTGTAAAACCGATGGAACTTGAGAAAAAAACTATTTTTTTCTATAGAGCTGCAATTGTAGCTATTCTTTGTTTCAAAATATTCCAATGGCAGTTATGATTGTAGTCAGTCTGTACGATGTTTATTTACGGAGAAAAATCATACGTATTTTGTTTCGCGCCGGTCTTCCCCACTCGAAGAAATTGACGAAGTGTTTGGCGCCTTAATTCAGTTTAATGTGTTACACGTTTTACCACTTGTAGCGCCTCTCATTATTCAATGTGAGCGTCTCGTAAGAACTAAAAGAATATGATGTATCATCAGTTTCAAACTTTTTCACTAGTTCTTATGTGAATAAATCAGTGTAGAGGCGCGACTATCGAACTTCCGTTTCGTCCACGCTGTGAATTATTCAAGTCTTTCAATATCTGCCGACTGCCACTCTAACTTATAAAGATGGCCCCGAAGAAAGGTAATGATGATAATTTTGGGTTACTTTTAGAAAATTATTGTTTGTGATAGTGCAATACAGTGTGAAAAATGACTTCCTTGACAATTTCATTGGCTTCCAAGATTATTGAGTTATTATTTACTCTCTAAAAGTGAATTGCAATATGTGTATAAATGTGCCGCATTCAGCGTTCCAAACCCACGTGGCGTTATAATAAACAATCTATAATTTTGTAATTGTTACATACATGTGTATACTTGATCAAGACTTGCCGTGCATATTTTATTTATGAACAGTTTCATCTAATATCAGAACATTTTTGGAGGAATTTTAATTCACTATGTGATCTAACCTCCAACATGCCTAATATTCATTTTAAATCTTAATGATTTTTCTAATGAAAATATGATTTTTTTTTCTAGCCGCCGGTAAAGACAAGAAGACGGCACCAGCCCCTGAGGCCGCCAAAAAAGTCCAGGCAACAACAGCCAAGCCTGCAGCTAAGCCAGCTGCCAAGCCTGCTGCTAAAACACCAGCCAAAGCTGCAGCTAAGGCTGCCAAGCCAGCAGCAAAGGCTGCAGCCAAAAATGCAGCTAAGGCTGCCAAGCCAGCAGCAAAAGCTGCAGCTAAGCCTGTAGCTAAGGTCGCTGGTAAACCAGCCAGCAAGGTAGCGGCCAAGAAAACCTCTGCCGTTAAGAAGGCTGGAGCTAGTCTTGAAAAGGCTCTCAAAACCCAGAAGAAGGTAAATACATAAGAAATAGAAATAATTCTGTTATATTTGTAGATGTATTTAATTTAAATGATGAGTCAATTGTGTGGGAATCTCTTTGAATACCATGAAAAGTCATTTTAACACATTACTGACAAATTATTACAGAAACAAAATACTTTGAATGATTTGTAGACAAAAATTTTAAATCATTCTTTAAATTTTAGGTCATCAAGGGTGTCAATGGTACTCGAGTCCGCAAAATCAGGACCAACATCCACTTCCATCGGCCAAAGACTTTCAGACCACAGAGAAACCCCAAGTACCCCCGTAAGAGCGTGCCAAAAAGGAGCCGGTATGTTTTACTCAATATTTTAGCATTTTCATAATTTTTATAAAATGATGAATTGTATGGGAATCTCTTTGAAATTTAAATTGAAAACATTTATTATCATACACTGATATAGGCTTATTCATATCTTTTATGTTTAAATTACAAAATTTTATATGAAAACTAATGACAGATTGTTTATTTCAGCATGGATGCCTCAAACATCATTAAATACCCTTTGACTACCGAATCTTCCATGAAGAAAATTGAAGATAACAACACGTTGGTCTTTATTGTCCATACTATGGCTAATAAAAATCACATTAAAGCTTCAGTGAAAAAACTGTATGATGTTGATGTTGCTCGTGTCAACACGCTCAATAGACCTGATGGTAAAAAGAAGGCATATGTACGTCTGACAAGGGAGTACGACGCATTGGATGTAGCTAATAAAATAGGAATTATATAAATAACTCCTATAGAAATAAAGTTATCATTTCTATAAATAATTCTTTTTACTACCCCAGTCCTTAATTATTTAACTTGTGAATTAATAATTGTGAATTAATCAGAATTATAATCATTCTAATATTTTTTAATTAGACTAAATTAATAAATTACAATCAATTTTTAATAGTTAAATTTATTTAATTTTTTAATTCTATTTTTGTGCAAGTTAATCAATATCAAATACAGGGCGTAATCAATTGAGCTTAATGTTCTTTGACAGTTTTGGAGTTGACCTCGAATACATATTAAATGAAAAAGAGTTGTAGCATGTTGTTATATCCAACAGGTGAATACGGCTAAAATCGTTTGATATTAATGAAATAATTTATAGGAAAACTTGTAGCTATATTTGTTTCTATATAAACTTAATAAATTGCTTTATTTTCTTATTTTATTTTGTTATAATGTAAACTTCTTACCGAAATCTGGCCTTTAAAACTATTCCAATCTGTCTGACTAACTCATAAGTAAATAAAAAAAATTTCAATCCACTTATCTCCGAAGCTCGGGCTTCGAACTATCCCAAAGCTTTACAGAGCTTTATAATAATTTTAAGAATTAGGAGTTTTATAATATAAGTTTAATTTACGTGAAAAATGAGTGAAATCTCTCGAAAAAATAACTAAAACCGGCATCTCTCGTGATTTTGCTGCGTTTGAAAATCTCTTCAGTAGACACAGGAGCTGTAAAAGCTCCACGTATTGGCTAAAGCTCAGGCAGGGACCAATTGCAATCGAGCAAAAAGTTCGTCTGCAAATTTATATCCGTGGCTTACCTGCACTTACGCTCGTACTAACAGTATGCGTATGTGCATGTGTGCAAGATATATGTGAGTCATTGTTATTGTTCTATACACGTTTATCTACACCTAGTCGTGGCATCAGCTTCTATATATAAATCCATCAGCTGGCACAGAATATTGAGCAATATCGCATTGTTTTCAATAGTGTGTTCTCACCTATCCTGCAGATCGTCGTCGTGACGTCTCTTTTATTGTCAATAGAGGTTAATCAGTGTGCTGAAACGTCAGAGCGTAAACAACATTTTCGCAGGTGTAATAATACTGATGCGAGATATGACAAAGGTGAGATAGGATATGAGCAGTCACGCCCTCGACAGTGTCTACGCCTGGATCGACAAATTCGTCGAGGCTACGACTCATTTGACGTGCGATGTTTTCGATCTCGTTATTGGCTCGTTAAGCACGACCCTGTCCGACGCTGTCAGCGACAACAGCCAAAGTAGAAGCAGCAGTAGCAGCCCTTCTACCGATAACACGCAGGACCAGGCCCAATCAAATCTGTCTCAGTCCTTTCTAGAGTTCGCCGACTGGTTTTTCGACTACAACGACTTTCAGCTGCTGCTAATTAAACTGTTTATCGCTGTGATCATTGGCAATTGTTGCATGATCTACGTACTTTGGAATTATTGGGGCTACGGTGAAATTATTTCGGAGCATCTTGCAGCTAATAAAACTACCCAAGATCCTGAAGATATAAAGAAAAAGTTACTAAATCTCAATCTACCCACAGAGTTTTCTCAACAGCACTCTTAATTGTAAATATATCACTATGGCAGATAAGATAAAGGCACTCTTTTCAAAGAAAGTAAAGGATCAAAAGTTCAAATCGGCTGGCAAGGGATACAAGTATGTAGTGACTTTTTTTTTAATTTGACTGTATTAAATGATAAATATATTTTGTTTTTATTAGATTAACAGATTCAGCAAGTAGCTCTGCATCAACATCAAAGGCTAGTGTACAAGTTACAAAACGAGATGAACCTTCCAAAGAAATTAAAGTAGCTGGACAAGCAGCTTTGGCTCGATTAGAGGGACAAAAAACAAGTGTTCCAAAAATGAAAACGTAAAAAAATTTTTCTCATTTGAATTTAAGTTACTGACAGCTAAGTAAATCATTTAACTTTTACAGTTCACATAAAGCAATTGTAGCTCAAGCAAAGAAAGAATTGGAACTTGAAAAACTTGCTCTTGAACAAACAGAAAAATCATTTGAATCTAATGAAGTACCTGCTCTAGAATCTAAAATTGATCATGTAATGGCTGTGGAGGGTGTTTATTTCCAATGCCCAGTGATTTCTGAAGAAGTATTGGATAGAGCCTCATGGATTGAAAGAATTCCAATTTTTCTTCATGAGGAGCTTCCTGAGAGTGAACCAGCATTGATTGCAAGCTTGATTATAAACAGTTGTAATGTAGATGCAGATAGAGTGACTGCATGTAAAAATACTCTTGGCAAGTACTTAGATAATATCATAAAAGATCCATCTGATAGTAAATATTGGAAGATAAAAATGTCTAATAAAATATTTAAGGTGTGCTAATACATATATTTAGACATGATTATGGCTCAAAATCAATTGTTGAAACTATAACTTTTATTTTTAGGAGAAAGTTGAGCCCATCACAGGCTCAATCGAATTTTTGACTGGGGCTGGATTTGTTCGTGAAGTATTGATGCTCGATGATGGAGAAGAAGAATTTTTAGTGTGGCACCCAGAAGTAGTTGATATTGAACAATTAAAGACTCACAGGGAAACTTTAGATTCAACTGAAAAAGTAGAGCTAATTTTAGATAGAAATGAACAAGTTTTACAACCACACCAAGCTGCTCAGAGAAATGAATTACCAATAGAATTTTATAAATTAACAGTTGAAGATATGAAACGAGAACTTGAATTGAGGTAACTTAAATGAAATATAATTTTCATTTATGTATGGCTTTTTTTAATCACCTTTGTAATTTAACGAAAAATTCTAGAGCCCAAGCTGCAGAGAAAAGTTCTATGTTGATGACTCAGGCTATGAGGGAAAAATTCATGAAACAAAAAGAAAGAAAATATTGTTATAGTATAATAAGAATCAGATTTCCAGATAATATAATACTTCAAGGAACATTTGATGTACATGAAAAGTATGAAGAAGTTGTAAAATTTGTCCAAGAACACTTAGCAAATCAAGACTTTCCATTCTTTTTGATGGAGATTGGTTCAAGAGAAAAATTAACGAAAGAAAATTTTGAAGATACATTGGAATCATTAAATCTAGTTCCTGCTGTTATTTTAACATTCTTTTCTGATTCATTAAATACTGAAGCTCCAACACAGTATTTGAAAGATGAAACTCTTGCAAGATTACAATTTTCGTAATGGACTAGTCAAAGATACTGAATATTTTTTTTATAATCTATTTTTAAAAATGTAAAGTGTTATTAATGAGTATAAGTTATTTAAATCATGATAACTTTAATCAAAAATTTTGTAAATTAAAACGGTGTAAATTTATTAATGAACTTGAAAAATCAGTGGTTTCTTTTATATTACTTCAATGGGATTGGAAGGATACGGAGAAAAAAGAAATAAATAATATTCATTTATTTGACCAACTAAAATAAGTATGTACAATGAAAATCTTTTTATTTATGTCCTATTACATTCTAATTATTTTCTACGATTTAATTAATATAATATACATAGTCAGTGCATTCTTAAATTTAGACCTTATAAATAGTGCTGGCAGTTCAACGCTGTTGAAAAATGACAATGAAATTTTTCGTAAGACAGTGCATGCTCTTATTTTTTTCCTATGGTAAAAAATTTTTTATTTATCATTTTCATAACAAATGAAGAGAAAACTAAAAAACAATTGGACAAAAAATCATAAAAATTATCATCTTTGAAACCATAAATACGCTTTAAAAATGTATAAACGCAAAATATTATATTTGAACAAAATGAAATCAACTTTTTCACGATTACTATATTCCTTATGCAATAAGATTGAATAATTTAAGGTTTCAACATTTATATCAGTATCGTTTGACTCTATGAACAGAACAGCAAAGTATTGCATAAAACTCGGAGCAGATAGATGCAAGTTCAGTGCGTGATTATTTAACATAAATCAACCACTGAACAAGTATTTTGCAGCTTCGAGTTTAATGATGTATTTTGCTCCGAAAATGATAACAATGCTTTTTTCAGCCGTCAAATATCCTTTTAAATACAAATATTTCATAATACTTGAAAAAAGCAGAAGAAATTATTTAAAAATACAATTTTTGTTATTGATCATGCGGAAATTGTAGGTCACACGTGGAACATGATCTTGGCGATTATTTATTACTAAATTTGCAACATTACGAATATTATAGACTTACACAACAATGTTTATATGTCTATAGTATTGTTTGTGTTATACAACGGTTTTGTTTTCTAGTTTAGCAACGAAGAAACGAAATATGTTTAGACTTAAAGTTTCGATTTAATTTTTTTTCTATTATTTACTTTATTAATAATTCTATTTGTTTCCAAATTTTATGAAAACTAGTACAAGTGATCTATCAAAAAAAAAAAATTAATTATAAAGAATCGTATATTAGTATTAATTATGGACGGGCAATTTGATTATATTTTCGGATTCTAAAGTTTCATTTGTGATTTGAATCTCAATAAATTATTTTTTGAGAGAAAAATTTTGATTATTTTAATTACATTTTTATCTTGCTTCAATCGTTGTTGAATTTGAAGTTATATTCTTCCTTAGAGTTGTAAAAATTTTGCAAGCTATCAAAAAGTTTTAGTTAGATTTTCAAGTTTTTCATAATTGATTACATTTTTATTCACTATCGGTGAACGTATTTTTCGGTAATTTTTAGTTATGACTGAAAATCAATTCTCATAGATATTTTTCAAATAATGTATTTCTAACAAAGAATATTAATCAATCAGTTAATTATTCATTTCACGTTAGTTAACGTATTTTAAATAAACTGTTATATGTACAAAAAATGTTTGATGTTCTTAATTTAAATTATTTTAATCATCGCACTTTCTTCAATTTTCAGTCCTATACATAGAATATATTATAATCAGCGACGTACTAGCTATACCTGTAGCTTTTTGCAAATTTTTTGCTCAAGTCTATCATTTATAAAAATAAATTCGGATAGATGAAAGCCCGTACAAAATCATAACACATTTTATTAAAGATAATTATTCATTTTTCCATAAAAATAATCGGTCCATTGATAGCTTGAGAAAAAAGACTTGAACGTATTTGCTGCTAAGCTCTTCTCAGGTATATCAATAATAACAGTTATGCTGATTGTTATTATTCTCGTCGTTGCGGTCGTTTTAATGATGGGCGCGCTCCCACAAAGCCGTGACGAGTGGTACCTCGCTACTCTGGTACTGCTACGCCGAGCAAACGAGCTGCTGATGCTGCTCGATATTGCCGCTGTTCCAAGGATATTTGTCTACGGTTAAAGGACTGTTTGGCGAGCTTAACAGCGGCTTCAGTGCCATGCCCTCTTCGTGGTTGCTATCCTCGTTCACGATGCTTGGGCCAATCGTCTTTTCGTCTTCGAACGATACCTGCGGCCAGAATAAATTTAAACATTTTTAATATTTTTCCCTCAGACTAGAGATCTGACCGAGAAGCTATATTCACGGTTCGATTTATGCGAAGTATATCGTAAATGTAAAAATTAGTACAGAATTTTGATGCATTTGGATTCGAGAAAAATAAGTAAATGAGAACTGTTAAAAGTTTACGAAATTACTACAGAGCCTCTCTTTTTTTTCTCTGTTAAAAAAGGAGTGAAGCTGTTTTATTTGTGCTGGGACTGATCCTCGCAGAAGTATGCTACCTATGCACAATCGCAGCAGATTTTATAGACAGTTTATAGTTGATTTTTATAGGACTTAAACCAAAATTATGAAGCACTCGTGCAATACTCATATATTGTTCAACGAAAAATAAGTATAATCTCGAAAATTCTCATTTCACTGAGATTTAGGTAGAGTAATACAATGCGGAAACCCGTATAATCTAATATAACGTAACGTTGATATTGTATTAATTCAAAATTCGCATCATGGTTTTTTCGTACGGGAATCCATCATATCACACAAAATAAACATTTTTAAATTAGACTCTTGAAAAAATATTCTAGGTAACTTATTTAAATTTTTTAATTGTATTTGCAAATCATAATACAAAAATTCGAATAAACCAATGTAAACAATCGATAACAACTAAAACATTATTCTGTGATATACAAAATTTGATTGGAAAGATTGTAAGAGTACATACAATTTATTTTATGCAAGTATATCTAAAGTTCCATATTTTTCGATGTTTTTTTTTATATCTTTATTTATGTTTAATGTAACTGATTTATTTTAAATTCAAAAACATTTTTTTGCAATTATTTTAGCATGCTTTTTTTCTTTTTATCTTAAGAGACGATATTTGGAATCTTGAATTTCAAGTTCTTTGATATTTATTGAAATGTATATTAGTAAGATAGTCAATGCTTGTTAAAGTTAATACATAAGCCGGCCTCAGTATTGATGCTAAGAAGTTACTAAAGTTCGACCAAACTAATAAAATAGTGTAACATTTATATAATCAAATTTAAGTACAATTTTTAGGAATGAAGATAAAAAGATTTCAGATTTCAAATTTTTTATTAGAAGGCATTTATTATATATTTTTTAATTTAATTGTGTGTAAAATTATAGATTACACAAATTTTAAAAATATTTCATACAGAATCATTAAAGCAATATTCTGACAATAATTTTATATTACATCTTAATTACATATCATAATATAATAAAGTTTTTAACAAAGATTTATTTATGTACACTCACTTTCATGATTTGTTATTAATTTTTTAGGCATTATAAATTTTTTTGGATTTTCTTCAATCAAACATCCCAGTACTTTTGGTACTGATAATAAAGTACCTGAAATAACTGCTGACAAGCAATTACCTTTTTTTCCTTGATAACCAATGATTAGTCGTTTATTTAAGTAATCACCATAAGCAGAAACATTTCCAACTTCAATATACTTGCTAGAATTAACAGACCACATTTCAAATGTTACTTTTTTGGTCTCTGCTCTCTCCAGCTCCTTAGCTGATTTGAAGACAATCCGATAATGACAACCTAATTGATTGTAGATGCTTGCCCCTAAATTTACTAAATTTTCAAATTCATCATCATAGGATTTATCGTTTAAATTCACAAATGTCACTGCTTGAAGGGATGTTGATTGACAGGTTGAGAATAAACCGCTGTCAATTGAACTATCTGAGTATGGAGTATAACTCCTACCTGTAGAAAATAATCGCAATGGTAGATCTTTGGCTTTCACAATATGTTTAATATGAAAAGCTAGAAGTGCTGGAAGACTTCCAGCTCCAACAAGATGTAAACGATTGATGAGTTCTTCTTGTTTAATATCATTACTGTCTTCTAAAATAAAAGTTTTCAAGAAGCTTTGATGATCTATACCACATCCTTCCACTACAACACTTCGACAAAAATCTGGCCCAGATATTCTAATAGTATTAGCTTCGTTCATTATTTTGCCTGCAGCTGAAATAACTGCTAGTTCAAATAATGCTGCCTCGTTCTTTAAATAGTATTGAGTTGGACTTTTATAATCAATCAAATTCAAGCAATCACCAATAATCAAGTGATTTTGCCTTAGAGTTTTTGGTACTTCAGGTTTGTGCCCCACAGTGCGAAGAACAGTGGAATCTGTTGGTGTTTTGGCATCAATCACATTAGGGATTTTTAAAATGTTCGGAATAAGTGATTCTTCTAAACTCCAAATAACTTCTTTAATGACCTTTAAATCTTCTCTCATAAGATCAAGTTTTATTTTTCCAGCATCAATTTTGTTCTGAATACTGCTGCATTTTTCTAAAGCATACAATGCCTTAAGATCTTGTGCTAGTTCATCTCTTTTACTTTCGATGCTTTCTTTCTTTTTAGAAATATATTGAAAGTATTCCCATGACTTTTTTAATTCAGCTGCATTTATATTGATGTTTCTCTTGTTAAATTCTTCTTGGAGTTTTTGCACATCATCAAATCTATTATCATAGTCCAAAACAGGGGACACTAATGCAAATGTTTTGTTAGCTTTGTTACCTGGTACATATAGAGCAGAAGAAAATGCTTGTTTGTTTCCACCCAGGTATAGAAAAGGCTTGAAAAATTTCCAAGCATAATTGGAATACTTTTTATTTGAGCAAATATTTTTCACTACAGTAAATGCCATCATTAGAAACTATTTTTAACTGTTGCAGATAACTAAATAAATTATAAAAATTTATTCTGGGTTCATTGAAACATCTCCAGAATTATCGTCAACCTTAGATCTTTTTTCAGCTCTTTCTTCTTTATCTACTGTTTCAATTTTTCTTTTCTGAGGTTGTTTAAAAGTTCCTAGGCCAGCAGCTGCTTCAGCGTCTTTAACTGTGTATGGTTCTGTTTCCAAAGCTTTGAGCCTTCGCTTATGAACTTTTGTCTTGTAATGATCAAGTATGGCTTGACGATGAATAAAATGTCTCCTGTTCAGTCAAAAAGTACACAATTCAATTACTTAAAACTGTAAAGAAGACAGCTTTCATAGTGTAAAAAATATAAAGTTTAGTTTATAACTTACGCGCATGTGACGCAATAATGCTGGGCGGCCCCTGGCAAGTCGTAATCAACCTCCTGATTTAATAGTTTGTCAACGTTCTTGTCTTTCAAATCTTCGTTGATCTTGCAAAATAGTTTTACTCAATTAATATAAACAAAAAAATGTTCCTAAGTCAATGTGTAACACACAAATAGAACTTGGACACACAAAGATATAAAGGTTATGATACTTACTTCGTCGAGATCTCTCTTTCTCCTTTTTACGTTTTTGACGTTTTGTCTACGAGCTTTGACTCCCATGATAGATTAAAACTATTGTAGTACAAATAATTCAAATATTTCAAACTTAACTATTGAAACAAACAAGTTTTACAAAAAGCACATGCGAGGAATTGTGAACTGTCGCTGCCGACTGCCGGGGGTAATGTCTGCACGTTGTGCGCGTGCGAGCGAGCGCAGTGTGCACAGTCGCACGAGTATTTTAACTTCTTTGTCGATCGTCGATGCTTGGAGGTAAAGTGCATTTTCGAAAAGTATCAAGTGATGGTGGATCCAGTAAATTCAGTTGTTAACGAATTTTATTGTACATAATTTTATATATTCTATTGCGGGACTCGTAAATTTTTCTCGAGCTTAGAACTCGCTCGCAGTATCGAAAAACATAAGTTTCATGCGTTTCAAAATATTAACGCCTGCGACGAGCTCAGTGTAAAATATTGTTTACATTCTAAGGAGGGGTTGAAACGTGCCGCGCGCTGGAAAAGTTTTTGGATGTTTGAAAACATTTGTTCCGCGTGATGTGCATGTGCGAGGGAGAAAGACAGAGAGAGAGGACATGGGCTGGATGACACGAAACTTTGCTCATAAATTCGAGTGCATGTACACATTTTTTCTTGAAAAAAGGAGGGGGGGGGGAGGGGTTGAAGGGGAATGAGTGCGAGAAGAGGAAAGTTTCCCTACGTCTCGGTGATAAGTTAAATAGTGTATAGTGCATTATAGCTGCGGGTTTTTGCCTGTGCGTGCTTTTTAAATTATTTACTTTTTATGCATCTGTAAGACTCGTAAATTAGAGAAAAACATGAAGTTATAGTAACCGAAAAATTCCCGGAGCCCAGTAAAACTTATTATTCGAGATTGATGCTGCGGACGCAGCTGTTAATCATACTCGAATATAGGAAAAATCGCATAAACAAGAATTTTTATGGAAAATATAAAAAGTCAAGCTTGGAAAAAAAAATTTCTACGACTAGAGGGAGAAGGAGGCAAGGCGAAAAACGTAAAAAGCAAAAAGTACAAGGAATAATCTTGACTTTCAATCTCGCGCACCAAGCCCGTGCTATAAACTCACCTTGCTCAACAGAAAAATAAAGAAGGGAAAAAATTTCCTGTTTTTGCTGCTCGGTACTCGCTTGCACAATTAAACTAAAAACCATCAGATGAAATATCTCTCGAGAGCTGTTAATTATCGAGGCTTTTAAAACGAACGAGTTCTCTTTTTCTCCTTTCGGATAGCCGGTGCGGGCTAGCGCGCGAAACAGAAAAGAAAAAGAAAAATAAGAGAACAAAAAAAGAAAAATCATCTTGAGCTCGTTGCACTGATTACATTTTAGGGCGGGAGGAGAGGATGGCGCAGAGAGAGAGAGAGAGAGGCAGAAAGCTATAATATCCTTTTACCGAGGCGGTTGGAGCTTGTCTTTCCGACGACGACGACGACGACGACGACGTGACTGCACTAATTACGTTTTCGTGATCTATCGTCTTTATGCGCATACGTGCAGCTACACAGAGAGGCTTCTTCGTTAGGGGCGTCTTGAATATACAGTAATGTATCGTACATATAAATCAATTAGTTATGTCTCCTACTGATACAGCCCGTTTTTTCCTCTTCACTTTTCAGCAAGAACTCGTGCTGCGTTTATTCCATTCGCAAAAACTTTGGTCAGTAATTACGAATAGGATACAATAAAAACTCGTCCTTTGCGAGCGAGTTGATTTTCGCTCGAACGAGAATCAGCGTTACAATAATTACATTCTGATGCTGAATGGATGGTTAACGAAGCATATATAAAGGAGCGCCAAGAGAAGCAAAAAAAAAATAGCTGAAAAAGAGAGAGAGAGAGTAAAAAAAATATAGGTAAAAAATTACCCAAGACTCGACTCGGGCTTTAGCTGGGGGCTCCTCGTGCAGCAGCAAGTCACTTTTCGCCCGAGTCGTTTTCTCGTCCTTGGATGGCGGCGTGGCTGGGACTCTCGAGCCACTGCTGATTTTCCCATGGTCGAGGCAGGACGTCGCTGACTTTTTGCTCTTGTGGCGCGCTCCTTTTCCGCATTTATTCTTGGCCTCCGATGCGACGTCTGCGGCGTAGTGGCATGTATTTATATAGGTAGGCAGCGGATAGTGATGTCGCGCGTGTGGTGCAGCCGAGGAAAACCGAACGGACACATAGAAAAGAAGAGGCGATGGTATTATTAATTTCGTTTCCTTTCCTTTATTTTCGTCCGATATATAGACAAACGAGTTTGTATAGGTATATTGACTTACGGGGCGCGCGCGCGTGAGAGCTAGAGAAGGAGACTAATACGCGTCAAGCGTGGCAAACGGCCGTGTCTATGTATATAGTGTATAGTAACGGGCTAGGATATACGTGACGTCGTACGATTCTATCCGTTATTACGCTTTAAAACTCGCACGTGCCGCTACTATCCAACGAGTTTTCGCCATCGCCGCGGAATGTATAGTGTGCCGACAGTGCACAGCGTACCGCCTCAACTCTATATATATACCTACGTACCCGATCAACACGAACGAACACGAGCTCGTGTACACGTTTTCTTATTATTTCTCGCCAAATAGAACGTTTTTTTTTCATCTCGTAATTATCCAACTTATATCGAGAAAAAAAATCTAAGGAAAAAAAGCTCACCCTCGAAGCCGTCGAGATGGACTTTGACGAGCTCGTCGTCGAGCGCCGCCAGCTGCTTTGGCTCGTGCGTAGTCCTGGCTGCCGCCGCTGCATTGGCCGCATCAAGCTGATCCAGTTGCCATATCGCGTAAGCGCTATCGAATGCCTGTGCCAAAGTCAAAGCTATCGTCTGCGCGACTTTGCGTCTCGGGCAGACGTAGGCGTGGCACTCGTGATGTTGTTGCTGCTGCTGCTGCTGCTGCCGCTCGGACTCGGACGGAGACGAGGACGTGGGCTCGACGGTCAAGATGAAAGAGAACACCTGATTGTGTTTGGCGTCGACGGAGCAGTAGGCTATGCTGCAGTAGTAAATAACGCGTGCGTTTGTCACGTACAATATTGACAGTGTATATATATAGCTCGAGACAGGACATTATTATTAGCTTCGTTTGTGCGCGCTCGTGCGTTTTAAAACATGATGTCTATATAGCATCTCCTGCTACTGACTATTGTGTGCACATCGCGCTGCCTTATTCATCAATTACTCTTAATGCATAAAATGCGATGCTTCCGGGCACGAGTTTATGCGCGGCTACGGGATAACTTTTGTAAATATGTATGCGAGCGCAAGACTAATAAGAGCTTGAAAGCCGAATCTTACGATGCATATATTCGCGCATGTATTATGGCTTTAGATGTTTAACTTTTGTTTACTGTTTATGTATATGCTGTATGCGCAAGCGATATCGCGAACTCGAGGCCAGTGGTACGAGCTACAGCTCGAGCAAATTCACTCGCTTAAGTAAACGCGCGCGAGTACGATGCGTATAATACATGTGCAGATATGTGTATGTGCTGCACTTTCGTATCGTCAAGTTGACTATGTACTACTGATCTACGATATCCGGAGGAAAGCACGACTACACGTGTATTACATTTATTATGCATTGACTTTTTAAATTTCGACCTTTTGCAGACCGCATCGCTGCATCGGCTGCGAATAAAAACAGAAAAAGCAGTGGTCGTTGCCCGATCGAATCTTGACTCGTTCCACTTGCCCCGTTGCATCGACGGGCGTCATACTGGCGTTCCTCGCATATTATATTACTCGGCGTTTACATTTTTATTTTTTGGTAAACGAAAAATACACGCCGCGGAATATAATGAAAAAGAGTAATAAATAAAAAATAAAAAAATGAAAAAACAACTGGCGGGTATTACGTAATATTGGATACACGTGTATCGGTGGTGCAGGACACGAGACAGCACAATATGCGGTCCAATTAAAAACGTACTATGCACGAGTGCACCGCTGCTACTGCAGTGGTAGCAACAGCAGCAGCGGCGGCGGCGGGAGTGTATGTTCGAAACTCGACTTTGCTACACACATTCACGATACGTGCACAAGCTTTTATATTATTGGCTTCGTTCGACCAAGCGACTGGCAAGATCGAGGAAATTCGCTTATTAATCGAACTTGCTCGTTCGCTCGCTCGCCCTCCCACATTTTACGTACCTTGAAATCGGAGCACGGAGAACTTCCTCGGCCGTGTCGAGCAGCGTCATGCGTATGCCTCGTCGACTTATGGCGAGCGAGACTCGAAACAATTTCTCTCCTCTCGCTTTTGTCTGCAACAGAAAAAAACAAAAAACAACGATTCAAAAACGTTTCATATTTTCGTTTTGCCACTTTTTCTTCTTTTCGTTTGCTGCAAGCGGATGGATTGTTGATGTATAACGAATTGCGATCGTTTCGGCGTACACATAGACGACGACGACTCGAAATAGCTAATAATACGTGAGAGCGTATGGCCGTGTGCGGATGCAGCCCTTTACCCAGGATAGAAAGAGGACGAATCGTTTTGCCCGCCTGCACCCGCGCGCAAACGTTTCACAATTCTGTGCTTTTGTAACGAAATCCTATATTGCTCACTCGACTAATTGGATTTCTTGCGTACTAGCTAGCTCTTTTTCCCTCTGTTTTTTTTCATCGTCGCCTTTCTTCATCTGTGTATAGGCAAAGAACAACCGCTAATGTCTTTTTTTGCTCTCCGAAGCAGCTTCGCAGGGGAGGAGGCTCGCGCACGCTCAGCTTCTCCAGGCGGATCCGCTTATTTTTTTTTTGTCCTCCCTATTGTGCGAATCGCGAGTGAATGAGAGCTCAGCTGGTGCGATTTAAATCGATTTTTCGTTGTTACTGTTCTATTTGGCGCAGAGGGCTGCTAGCGGACCCTGGGCCATTAATTGTATTTGCGTATAGACAAGCGACTTTTCTCTTATATATAGCTCGCAATGCCCGCCGACACCGCCTCTCGTTTAAGCTTTCCGACAAGGCGAATTAAAAAAAAATTAAGCGTTCCACTATCTCTTGAAACACTTTTGGAGCTTTATATACCAGGTTAAATATGTCAAAAGCTAAAACCGATGAAAAAATATCGTCCTACTCGTGGTCATATATTGCACTCAAATCTTTTGCTTTTTCATAAGGCCTCTTAATTTCGCAAATATGAACGCTCTTCCGACGTAAATACTACGAAAAAATTTTACTTTGAAGAATTTCTATATAGTTTTTGTCTTTTTGCAGAAAAAAATGTTAAAAAAAATCTATCTCAAAGTCTGTGCATAGACTTCTTGCAGTCAAGCGTGTGTGGGTCTGTGTATATGCGGTGGTTCCTCACGACGCTGGTACGGTGCAAAGCTCGGAAAAATGTTTTAGCCTTTGATCGGGTTGCGAGAGCCTCGAGCTTTGTTTGCGACTTTTTTCAGCTTCTTCCTTCAAAGCGCCGCCGTGTACGTATCGTACGGGCGTCGTGAAAACTGACAGAAATTTTTGTACGCGCTCAGGAATGCGCGTGAGCGTATCCTTCTCTCGTTTTTTTTTTGGCTGCAATCCTTCGCTCGAGCCTGTAAGTCATGCGAACGACGCATCGCATGTAGCACACTCACACACATGCGAGTCTTAATGATGATAACGACGAGGGATTTACTGTCTGGGGAACTTTGTCGAGGTGACTGTTACACACTATACATGTATACGTGCTTGGCATTGTCTCGGTTGCCTGCCCTCACGGACGCACACGCTTTCATGAAATTTAGCCACGACTAGAATTTCTAGACAGGAAAAAAAGTTTGTCCGTGTAATAGAGCTCGTTTTCGACGATGAAGTTAACGCGAGGAGTCCTTTTTCACCAGTTTCAACGTGAAGATGTTCCGCGCACAGCATGCCGGCGAGTTGCTTTTTTTCGGCGACGCGCGTCGAAAAAGCTCCGCAAGCAGAAAGTAGAACAAAAGCCAGGCGACGACGATGACAGACGCTCGCGACTCAAGTTTATTAAAAACCATGTTTTTTTTTCTCGACTTGTACGCGAATCCGCGCGACGGTAAAAATACGCACGAGTATCGTAATTAAAGTTTGTTCCCTAAACTTTGACAATGGGATTTGCATCAGTCGTACTTTTATTTTCTCCGTTCGTTCGCGTTGCAGTTTTGCGCAAATGCAGCAGCAGCAGTAGAGAGCGAGCACGCATTATTAATGCGCCGGTAATTTTTCGCACGCGAGGTCGAGCGCGCCAGTCGAAACTTTTTTTCATTTTCACGCCTTCCCGCAGCTCCGAAGAAAGTTACTAATTGTGTTATAGAACTGCACTCACACATACACATACACATACACATACACAGATGCAGAGAGAGATATATAATAGGTAGGGAAGAGAGAGAGAGCTTACAATTTTCTCTTTCTCTCTCCTGCGCAAGCTCTTGTATAGGGTAGCCAGAAACAAAACAGCCAGCTTGTGTATATAGCTCTCTATGTGTGCATTGCACTGTACACACACATACACACACATGCACAGACACGCTGGCTTGGATATGAAAAGTTAGTTTGCCGCGTGCTCTTTCTCTGCCCTAGCTGTGCATGCGTATACGTTATGTACACGAACATACGGAAGCTCCGCGAGAGTCGTTATTTTCACGTTGAAAGGCTGCCCCGAGCGCGAAAAAGTATAGATAGATCTTAACTCGTCCTCTACGTGTATAAGCACATAAATTGCGCAGCCTAGTCTATGATATTTCTAACTTTATTGCCGCGTGCGCGCTGCATCTACATGTTTTATGTATACGAGCTTTATTTTACGTGAAATTTATAGAATTTCCGGGATAGGAAATTAGGACTTGAAGATTGCGAGCTATGCGTGTGTATCGCGTATACAACGAAAAATGCAATTACCTGCCGAAGCAAAACGTCGGACGCGACGACAACGAACGGTGTTATACGATACATATAAGATAAAATTCAATCTCATAGTCGCTCAGCTACTGCTCTCGCTGCTTACGTGCGTGCTCTGTGTATAAAATATATACAATATATATACGTATAGACAGTACTTGCTGCAAAGCATGAAATTTAACGAGATCTCGTAAATGTAATATTGAAAAGCTCGCAAAAGTCTCGCTCGTCGCGAGCTGCCAAAGGCAGAAACCCAAAACGCGCGCCAAGATATTTTCTTTGGGCTGGCACGCAGCAGCTTTTCCTCGTTACATCTGTCTTTTGAATAATGCTCGCAGCTTTTTGCCTATGCTATGTAAACGAGCTTTTCTTGAGAGAGGAGCCACTCTCAATTGAAAAAGCTGCTTTCGCGGCTGTGCATTCGTACATTAATGTTTCATATAGCGATCCAACGATCCGAGCGCTGTGATACAGATGCGCGTATACCTTTAACAGAAGATTATTACTTTATTAAAAAACAAAGCTCTCGAAAGTGAGAAGTATACTTGACTTTGTGAGCTGTAAAAGTTATCCATCTCGTGCGCGCGTCATGCCCGATGAAGCTTTTCGCAGTGCGCGTGGTGCAGGCAAGAAAAAGATATATTAAAATCGCATAAAGGAAGGCACTTTATCACGTCACGTGTAGACGATATAAAAATTTCGAGCTTACACTGCGCATACCTATACATAATATCTCAGGCTGCAAGCTCGGATCAAATTCTAGCATTCATACATCACAGGAGCGCGCGCAAGCGCCTTGCTATGTGCACATGTAATATTATGTATAGTGGCATGGGACCTTCGATCGGCTCATCTCTCGAGGTGTCTAAGAAGTCGGAATTTTTATTTTCCCTTTGCGCATCTCGCGGCGAATCTCGTTAACTTTTCAATTTACATTTCGTCTCGCGCTACAAGGGCTCGAGCTACGCGATATCTTCTTTTCTCCGCTCATACCCATCCATAAATCAAGCATATTGCGAGCACATATCGTGCGCGATTTTCACATTCGCATAGCGGGAAATGATATAATAGGCGGAAGCATGCGTATGCATGTGTGTACAGTACAAGTAGATACACGCGTGCCGCTGCAGAGCAAAAGTGACACCGCAAACAGATCGTAGGCACATTAAGTAGGATTGGTAACGCCATTCCATTAGTGCGAGCTGCATAGGGGGTGCACGAGGATCGCTCGGCGCCTCTTCTCTGCACGCACATGCACGCACGAGCACATTATACATAGGCATGCAGGCACACGAGAGCCACAGAGCCACATGTTATTTTACACAGTGTTGTGCAAATATCTACGCAGCTGCTATGTATATATATAACGCGCATGAGCGCGAATGTTTGCTTAAATACAAAACAAGCTCGCGCGTATATCCAAGGCATATTATTCAACTGTTCTGTACAATGTATGCGTAGACCCCGTGCGCGCACGCGATGTTTACGAGCTTTATTCCATTTGTACTCTGAACGGTAAATTTGCGTAAAAAGTAGATTAACGATGTGCTCGACCAAGGTACAGCTTTATTTTTCCGGCTATAACGGCTGAGCTCTCTTTTAAATCTATCGTGGTGTCGGCTGGTGCAAGCTCAAAGGGCTACACAACTTTCATATAAATCAATTAAGCAAGTAAAACAATGACGTCGATGATAGCTCATTGAAACTCCATAATGCACTAACTCGCGCCTTGTTTGTATAATCTGTATGTATATTATACGCGAGAGGCGGCGGCTACCGTATATATATGTATAGAGAGAGAGAGAGAGAGAGAGACAAGTTTGAGAAGTACATTTGCTATATAATGTCTATATAGATGCCTTGTATAATGAAGGAGCCCGAGTTGGCGCGCATATAGCACATCATCAAGAGAGCATGACACTCGATGCATGGCAAGCTCTCTATACCTCTATACATATGTACATAGGCGGCATATGTCATGCGCGTGCCTCCTTTCGATATTATATACATACGCACTTAATAAATGTGACAGACGCAGCTGCACGTGTGCTTGTGGCGCACGTATCGAGCGAATTAGGATTTTAACTCATTTACCCATGGCTGCAGTACGGCACGAGTAATTAACGCGTACGCTGGTCATTAAAGTGCAATTTATATTATACGGGAATTTTCGAGGTCATAAGAGAGATCCGATCGGCGGGCGAAATTTCAAGTTTACATAATCGATCGCTCGCAAGTGCGGAGCGAGGAGGCGCTTTTAAGCGCACGTCGAGAAGAGAAAGAGATTCTGAAGCGGAGCAAAAAAGAAGACGAGACGATGATATTATAGCCGAGTCGAAAATAGCAAATCGCTTTAGACATTATTCAAAGCGAGGAAAGTGCGCGGAGCTTTTCCGGCGCGCACTCAAGAAGTACGCCAAATCCGAATGCGGGACGGCCGAAGCTTTGCGCGCGGATAAGTTTTGCTCGCGTAAAGCGATACGCGGGGCTTTCTTCCACGGGCGCCTTTCAAGACGCGCGCGCATCTTAATACACCGTGGTAGGAGCAGCTGCAACTCTCTTGCTACCCCCGAAAACGGGAGATTATTTTCATTAGCTTTTAAATTTATCGAGCAATACTGTATTATTACAATATGTACACGGTGCTCTCTGAGGAAAATATGTACACTAGCTGCACTCGGGGGTATATTAAATCCACGCTTCGGATGATTTGGCTTCACGGCGAAGATACATTAATAACTTTTGGCGAATACGTTGTTCAACGGCTGCCACGAGCTCGGCAAAGTTCGCCCGCAGTAGCGAAGATTCGTTATACGAGTGTTGAATACTTGGTCAAGTTTACAGCTCGATGCGGCTATATAGCTGTAGTATAAGCGAGTCGCAATTCCCGGGCTACCTAGAACACGTATAGAGCAGGCCAGGTCGAATGTACGCCAATTACCCGGAGCCCTGTACAAGAGGACCGGACTCTCTATGCAATATCCAGTCGCTAAAAGCTCCAACTTGCGCGCTCATAATAATCAATGCGCGTAGATAGCGCTATATCTATAGATAGTAGGTATATGTAGCTAGAGGATAACTCACTGCCGTAACGATTTTATCAACCGCAGCCGCTGCGAGCCGCTCGTTGTCGGCCGCGTCCTCCTCCTGCAGCCGAGTGCAGCCCAGATACTTGATGTCGTAGAGCTTCTCCTCGATCGCGACGGCTGCGCTGCCGCTGCCGGTGCTCGTGGCGCTGGTCGTGGTGGCCGACGAGGACGAGGCCGCCTCGTCCTGATCCGAGGCGTTCGTCGGGCTGAGCGTGCAGCCGGTCGTCGGTGTGCCGACGCTGCAGCCCGAGGAGGTTGTGGTCGAGGAGGCCGCGCTGCTCATGGTGCCGCTCATCGTCTGGCCGCCGACCACCACGACGCTCTCGCAGCTGTTGGCTAACGCCCATTCCTCGTTCAGCTCTGCAAAACAAATAACGCATGCGTATATGTAGAGTCAAGGCCTGATTTTATACTCTTGCAGATTTGTAGCATGTGCCCTATAGATAGGCTCGACTAGCGCTATCGGAGCGAGAGAGAGACGGAGAGAATTTCCCGTGAATTTCAATTAATATGTAAATTATCGTACTGAGCGCTGTGCGTGTATCGCGGCCAGCTTTCCACCAGTGCTGGATTTACCATCGTTGTATCCATTTTAATTTGGCCTAATGAATCAACCCACCGATGCTTGTATATACGCATGCCATAACTTTGTTTGCACGAAAGACCAACTTTACCTTTTAATTTCATCAAAGATAAATAATAATGTTTATATACGTATAGGAGCTTGCAGTATGGTTTGCTATAAACCGGCAGAGCTCCAGCCGTTTTTTCAGGCTTAGTATACGGCGTCGCGCGCGCTAAAAAAGCCAACGCGCTCGCACGTAAAAAGCCAAAAAAGAGTGTTTAAGAAAAAAGGACGAGGAAAAAACAAGAAGCAGCTTCGTCGACGACAAAGAGCTTGCAAGCCGCGTGTCTCGTATTTTATCAAAGGGTATTTTATCTCTCTCGCGAATAAACCCGTCTATATGAATGTCTCTTTTCTCTAAGTATACGAGATGTTATGAAAGCCGCGTGCGCCAAGCAAGATGAAGATTTAAAATTGTCCCGCACATTCATTTGTCGTGTAACAAAAATTTATGATTCACATCCGCGTGTTGTACATTTACAATTGAATTAAGCGTGCGGAAGCCCCGCCACAATTGAAATTAATGATGCCGTACACTGAAGAAGGCACGCGATATTTTCATTTTTTTTTTGTATTGAATCGAAAGAAAACAGTGGGTGTACGTGATGACCGGACTCAACGCTTGATTAGACTTGCAACTTCTGAGGTATTATCTCAGCATTAATTAATGCACTTATCGAATTTCATAATTATCGAGAAGTCTATCAGTAAGAAGAAACATAAAGAATTATTTTTATATAACAATTGAATTTCGAACATAACGTTCATTTATCTTAAAGTATTAAATATCTTGAAAAATAATAAAAGTAAAATGAAAACAAATTTTATCAATTACTTCTGTTTTCCATTTATTATTAAAATCAATATAATCAATTTCAATCAAATAAATTTAATTTGTGCCGAGTTAACAACAAGGATTGCTTATTGGAAAAATCGAATGAATAGGTCAATGTGTATATTCATATAACTAATTGGTGATTATTTAGCTGTTATATCGACATCCTTAGAACAAGTGAAAACAGCATTCAACATATAATACATGTGTGTGCGCACGTTTGCCTCGTAAAAGTCCGCACGGGAAATACTAGGAAATAAAGATCGAACGTTACATAAGCTTTTATTGTTCGACCAAGGGTTAGCCTATAGTACCCTGAAGCTTTTTATTATCTTGAAGCTTTTTTTTTTCGTTTTATTACCCATTTTCGTGACCGTGCCGGGGTTAACTCTTTACGTACAGAGCTCGATTTTTGTCGGATGAACATATTTTTAGAGGTACGTGCCGAATATTAAAGCGGATTAAGATGCAGCACTTTCCAGTGATCTGTCATTGTACTTTATTTTTCACTTTTGTCCTTTGACTTTTCAATAAAATACATTGCCTTGAATATTAAAACAAAATGAATAAATCAAACATTTGAAATTTGAAATTTTATTTTGCACGCTTATGCAAAGTTAATGTTGATAGTTTTATCTAAGGTTACAAAAACTTTGAATATTTCAACAATGAATAAATTGTATTTGAATTCATATTGCATTACATTTAAAATTATAATTACAAGAAAATATTAAGATCATACTTTTTATATCATAAGTTATGATTCATAACTTTAGCTTAGAGAAGCCCATACATCCCAAACATAAAATCAATTTATCAAAGTCATCTAGAAATTTAAGTATATTTGCACAACATAGATCTGGTATTGGAAATGGAGTAAGTAAATGTATGATTTCTATCATCATTGGTTTTGCATACCCTGTAATTAAACTTTTAGCAATATAGCCTTTAATTAATGCTCCTATGTGAGGAAACTCTGTAGCAAATTTTTCTGATTTAACAATTGACTTATAATTAGAATTTTTTAGAAGAGCATATGTTTTATCTGGAGATAATCTACAGAGGTCCAAAAGTGATGCATGTGAATTTATTTTAGTTTCCTTGGCGCGTTCAATTTCTTCTCTAAATTTGTCGATATCAGAATAAGGATTTACAAGAGGCACAAATTTGGTCACTAAAGAATGTGACATATGATAAAGATAATATATTAAATCATTATTGATAAACATATTACCAGCATATGTTATCAATAGATATTTAATTAACATTTCTATACTCTTTGCCTTTGAACCAAAAATTTGTTCTTTTGAATTGAGAAAACTATTGTAATAGACTCGAATCAAGGTACCAGAACCTATGAAGTAAAATAAATATTGTCAGTAAGAAACTTTTAAGCAGTTTTGGTATTCTCCACTTGAATCAACTTACCTAATTCCAACAAGTTAATTGGATACATAGAGCTGTCATCAAGATAATAAAATCCATGCAGAACAGACAGCATGTTGTAAGCGTAGCGTTCACTTATTTTGAATCCTTTGCTTTTCAACAATTCAACCATGTCGATGAGATTTTGTACAAGCTCTAAATGCTGCGGGTATCGCTTTCTTCGGCAAAAGAAGCCGCCTTCCAATCTAAGGTGATTCAGGTCATTGTCGTAATTCATGAGCAGCTTTACGGCTTCATAGTTGCAGTAAGACACGGCCATCTGGAGCGGGGTATTTCCATCAGCGTCCTTGGCTCTGGGATCGGCCCCGTGCTCGATGAGCATCTGGATGACCTCGGCGCTGATGTCATCGCGGCTGTATTGCTCGAAATCCTCGTATGTGCAGTACTCCCATCCTTCCCTGGCTAGCACCACGTGTAGTATCGTAGCGCCGGCGTCGTTGACATGTTTCACGTCGGCACCGTGTTCTAGGAATATTTTCAACACTTCTTTTTGAAATTTGTGACGTTTCACAATGCCGCAAAACAGATTGAACATCGGAGAGTTGCCTTCGCTGTCTTTGGTATCGATGTGGCATTTGTGCTGTATGAGCATCTCGACGATCTTCATATTAATATCGTAATAATCTTTTTCCACAACACCTCTTTCGTACGTATGATGGCAGTAAGGCAGATAGTCTAAAGGGTTGTTGCCAGGGATGTTGTTAGGATCGGCGCCTTTTTGAAGCAGCAGCTCGACAGACTCTGGCTGCTCCTCGTTCACGGCCAAATGCAACGGCGACATTTGCCTGCCGCAGTAGAAATCTTGGAAGGGCAGATTCGCGTCAATGCCTTGATCTAAAAATCTGTTCATCATGTCATGGTTGCCAGTGATGCAAGCCGCGTGGAAGTGTGTGAAGCCATGGTCGTCACTGTAATTATAATCGCCAAAGATCTCGAACATCAAGTCGGCTTTGTCGTAGAGTCCGGCCATAGCCGCGATATGCAGGGCAGTCCTGCCGTTTTCACCTATGCCGTCGATCTTAATGCCAGCCCCAACAAGAAACTCGACCACTTCCAATTGACGCTCCCTCTCAGCTTTGATGAGCATCCAGATGACGTCCTCAGGAGTGGCCTCTTGATACTCTTCGGCAAATAGGTCAATGGGGATGAGCTCCACGTTGGACTCGCGGGAAGTCGTCTCGCGCAATACTTTGTCATAGAAACGTTGGCGTTCGGCGTCGTATAAGACTTCAAAATTGCTTCGTTTGAGCGTGATATACGAATCTGAGTCGTCGGGCTCGCCTTCGGCTCGTCGTTTTCTTTTCACCGTCGTTGGAGGTGTATCTTCAGAAAAAATAAAAACGAAATCTTCGTCTGGCTCGACGTCCATCATGGCACACTCCACTTGCATTTTTTACGCGCGAAACACAATACACTAAAGGCACGAAGGATTGATAGTTAGCAGATGTTTCCGACTTGGTCAGCCCGACATACTATCTGGTCTGAGTAATTCGTTATTCCTTGCTTGGTCTCCCTTCCAAACTAACAAAATATATTACAACCGCGGCGTTGTATCTGCCACCTTTAGATGAAATTGGGGGTATCAAAAATAGCCTACCTGGCACCTACAGCGCGGTTCGTCATAACTCAAAGCATATGCCATAACCGCCGTGGTCGTGGAGTGCCGATGACGCCCCCTGCTGTTAATATTCATAATTCGTATAACGACTGCACCGTCACGCCCTCTAGTGTCGTGGAACACAATCCGTTTCAATTCGGACAAGTCACTTGACAGCCTGTTAGGCCTGTCTGCACGATTTTACAAAAGAAAAAATGTTGAGCAAATGGTTTATGGAGATTAAAATTTTCAAAAAAGTATCGAAATAATGTCAAAGTAAATCTAGAACGTTTAAAAAAGATTCACAATGTTTTTATATGCTGTTAAAAAAAAGTTTCGATAAATAATGATTATCAACAAATTCACGTATGTAATTGATTGTAAATTGGTTGTAATTTTTCATCGATAAAGTTGTATCAAGTATCTCATCAGCTAATTGTACCAGTCTCTTTCAAAGTCTTTTTCGTCTCTTGACTACGCAGGTTGAAGAAAACCGGGACGCTACCGTGACGCTTGATTTGAAATTCGACAGTTCGAAACGGCCTCTATATAAACGTAACAACCCCCCTGAAATTACTTTTAACGCCAAGTGCGGGAGGGTTTCGACGCGTCATCCTCTTTCCCGCGCCGCACGAGCCCAATCTCGTTTCGCATAATAGCCGATAAGGATGAGTTTGTATGTACATTGTTGGCTTTGCGAATAAATTTGCGCAGCTCTGAAATTGACAAGTGCAATGAACTTGTATGTTGAGCGTAGCCACTCTTGCTTATACCGGTTAATTTTTTTTAATTACTTCACGTAATTGTGCCAAATTTTAATGAGAATTATGTGAAATATTTGTTAATACTTTAAAAGG